TAATTTTAATAATTTTAATACTTGCAAGACTTTAAAAATGAAGCAATACAGTGGAAAATAATGGAGAGCGAAGTGTGCGCATATATCTATTACTAGTTGAAGATATAATATACATATGAACCTTAAAAAAAAGATCAATGACACACACGTTATAAAAGTGATGCAACAATAATATAATGAAAACAAAGCGCGGTATGCGAAGGATTCTGAAATTGAGAGTCAAAATTGATTTTATATTTTACATGACAATCAAAAGTATAGAATGTAGATTTTGCTATGGCACTCTTCTGAGTCCTATCGGTGAAAGCACGACATTTACTTATAGGGGACCTTTGACTTACTCAAGCAGGTTCACATAGCTCAAAGATTTTTAACCTTCTCCGCATGTTTCAAATCTCAAATTCGCATATACATATATATATATATGTATTGTGTAAAGATGCCAAGTCTTTATTATGTCACTTTTAAAATTTCTATATTTATATATGATTGACAGTTTTTGGCATATTTTTTAATGATAATACATATAGAACTTTACCATTTTCTTTTAATTTACATTTCAAAAGACATGACACATATATATTTTATGTTTTAGAATCCGTATATTATATTTCTTACGATAGTAGTTATTTATACATCTAATTCCCCCCATGGAGTGGCAAATTATGAATTAATGAGTTGCATAATATCATAATGCTCCAAACCGCAAGAATGAATGTCATATTGCAAATTACTATTACGACATATATATTTACAAATTTTTTTACTTTATTTATCGCCTTACATTTTTCTATAAAATTGGTGGAAAAAAAATTTCTTTTACCATTATGTTTATCTTCGAAAATATATATAAATTGTAAGCCCTTTCTATATGTAGATTATTCGTGTATATATATATAGACTCGACCTATTTGGTATGTGAACTATTATAACATTAATGTTTCTATAAGCATTTTATAGCGCCTGACTTGGAAAAAGTCGGTGAATCTTATTCGTGGTCGTTAGGAATAAAATTGAGAGTGGGATGTGTCCGAGTCGAAAATAAGAAAGTCCATTGCATAACAGCGCAGTTATGCTGATGAATCTTACTTATTATATACAATATAAAGATGAGACCCCTCAACAAATATTTATCGAGAAAAACTTATGAAATGCACGCATATATGTGCGTTTACCTTATTATAAAACATAAAAGAATTTTCTGTTTTTGCTTGGCTGAAACAAAATCGTTTTATCTCAACCAAAAATTTGGTTGTAGATATTTTTAAGTTCTAACCAAAATTAGATTATGAGAACCAAATAATTTAATTCGCTCTTAGCTCCTACCTTAAGAGAACAATAAGTTTAAATCTCTTCCCAAAAAATAGTAAACACTCAAAAAATTCAAATTTCACTACTTTTTTAACTATTTCTCCTAGGTCCCCAGTTAACAAACTGTAGTATAAAAAACTATTTCAAAAAAATTTTAACTAACAATAAAATATAGTAATAAATATCATTTTTATACACTCAAAAAAATAAGTAGAATTCAGATTTAAAGAGTACGTCTTATTTCACTGCAAAAATAAGTGACTTATTTGGTATCTTACAATAAGATGTAATATGGAAAAATAGTATCTTTCACCTTAAAAAAAGATATTTTGTAAAGTATCTTATTAATATTTAATACACGGAAAAAAAGAAAAAGTAACTTTTACTACTTTAAAAGTAAAATTGGACCTGTCCGAAGTTTCTGCGCATCTCTGGCAACTTTTACTCCAAAAATAGTAAAATTTACTTCAGAAATAGTAAAAATTACTACGGAAACAGTAAAATTTACTACAGAAATAGTCAATTTTACTATTTTTCGAGTAAAAGTTGCCAGAGATGCGCAGAAACTTCGGACAGGTCCAATTTTACTTTTAAAGTAGTAAAAGTTACTTTATTCGTTTTTCCATTTTTCTCCGTGTATGCTTTTTGCGTTTTAACAAAAATGAAAATATTTCTTCCATCTTAAATTGTAAGTTACTTCGGTAAGTTTCTATAAGTAACTTGAATTAAGATATTTGTGGGGTCATAAGATGTTTAGAAAAAAGATGCTTGTAAATTCTAAGATACGTCAGAATTTGAAGTTACTAAAATATAAAATACATTAAGCATCTTACATAAGAGGCCATAGTTAACCTCAAAATTTTTTTCATCAAAAATATGTAAAGCACTTTGGTGAAGATACTATTAACATCTTAAACTAAGATATTTTAAACAACTAAAAAGTTACTACCAAAACATCTTAAAAATGACTACCAAAACATCTTATATTAAGATACTTCTTTTTGCAGTGTTAGGTTACAGATTACGAATCTCTAATTTTTGATACTTCAGAAATTAAATTATTAATTGATAACAATTTATATATATAATACACGTTAATTATAATATAAATTATATACTAAATACATTTTATCCAAAATATTATAATTCGGATATATAGTTTCGTAATAACCCGCGAGAAACCTATATTACCTACAATATAATAATTCTTCATAAAAATCCGTAACATTTGAAAGAAATTTAAATATGAATTACGAATTTCTAAATTTGTAGAAATTCATTATTGGGAAAAATGAAATAATTCGAAGCATTACATGTATACAGAAAATAACGTAATATAATAATAAAATGATAATGAAATTCAGTAGCTTTGACGAAATAATTCGTAAAGGTGATTTTATTCGTATATATGTATATATATGATTGAGAATCGATGTTGTCTTGCTGTTTTATCTCCCCTTTGACAACCGGAAGATAAATCAACGTCTGACATCGCGAATCGGTCGGTCAACACGCGGTTGGGTCGGGCCGAAAGGGCAAATTCGTAATCCCGTAATTCTTCTTCTCCTTCTTCTTCAATGCACTTAGCACCGCGCGACTTACTTGAGTGCCGACAGTGGTGGCATTTAGGCGCATGAAAGAAGCACGATGTGAACATATACATATATATATACCTAAATGTACTCTTTGAATGATGCACTTACGCAAGAAAATCCTCTTTTTTTTTGATCGCCAACCACGTCGTAAAGGCGACAGCGATATAACCATGAGGACGACACACTATGTGTATATACATTTATCTAATCGAACTAGGAACTGAGTCAGAGCATTATTTTATCTCTGCAGTCGATCATCTCTCTCTATTTCTATCTCTATCACATTATAATGGCCAGGTCCAAGTGAGGCAGCGCCATCTACATTGATACTAAAATTTTGGAAAATTTTCAACAGCCTTTTCTTGAAAACAAGAAGGTAAAATGCTTTTTCCTTAATGGATAATTGATTATTGGCAAGATATACACCAGCTAAAACTTTTTTTGAGTTAAAATAATAAAAAAAATTTCATGTCAATAAATTAAATATGAGCGCACTTTTTTCACAAAAACTGTAACAGTACTTTCTCAGAAATTACAATCAAAAATGCAATTTCCATTTGGAAAATTAATAAACGCTAAAAAATACAAGACCTAAGATTTACCAATCACGAAAATAAGAAAAAAAAAATTTTATTAAATATTTAACATATTGATACTGCTTTACTGATTGTGACAGCCCTTTGGTAGATTATGTATTTCAGGTGGTTAGCAACAGCGCCAATCTCCTCCTTTCGGCAAAACTGCGAAACGTCTGGTGACATATATAACCTGCTAAACGGCTGTCATAATGAGTAAAATATGTTATGTTAAAATACTTTTTTTTTGTTATTTTCGTGATTGGTAAATCTTAGGTCGTGTATTTTTTAGCGTTTATTAATTTTCCAAATGGAAATTGCATTTTTGATTGTAATTTCTGAGAAAGTACTGTTACAGTTTTTGTGAAAAAAGTGCGCTCATATTTAATTTATTGACATGAAATTTTTTTTATTATTTTAACTCAAAAAAAGTTTTAGCTGGTGTATATCTTGCCAATAATCAATTATCCATAAAGGAAAAAGCATTTTACCTTCTTGTTTTCAAGAAAAGGCTGTTGAAAATTTTCCAAAATTTTAGTTTCAATGTAGATGGCGCTGCTTCACTTGGACCTGGCCTTAATCATAATTATTAAAAATTTGCGATAGTTATGAATTCCACTATCTTATATAGAACTCTCTAAATCTAAATTAGTAAAAATATTTACTAATTTAAATTAGTGACTCACTTTTTGCTTATTATAATTAATTAAATTTTACTAATTGTTAGTTAAAGTTACTAATAATTAGTAAAATTTTACTAATTGAGAAGCAAAAAGTGAGTCACTATAATTCAAATTAGTAAACTTTTTTACTAATTCAGATTTAGAGAGAATCTAAAAGGAAAAGGATATATTATTATATTATAGCGAATATAACCTTGGGCGCAAAAATTTTGTTCAACACGTGTAAATTTCGAGGTCAGCTTTTTTTGCCAAGTTTCATTTATAATAAAGTAAAGAAAAAGGTGAGGGGAATCTTTATGTGATGAAAGGGGAGCGTGGGGAATAGAAACAAACGTTTTGTCAAATTTCTAGCGAAATATACCTATATATATATATATATATGTATACACCTACTGGATATATAAAGGCAGGATACAAGTATCTAACTAAATCAGTCTATTAGAGAATTTTTACTGAAATTCGTTTGAATTTTTTTCTCATTATATCTTGACTTTTTAAAAGTTGAAAAATAATTTAATTTTTTTTTACTATGAAAATGGTATGTTTGTGTTTTTTTTTTGTTTGCAAAATTTATTTATTTTTTTAAACGGAATAATATAAAAATAATTTTTTTCCGTTTTCCCTTCCATTTTTTGAGAGAGGCAGTAAACATTTTTTTCGCACATCCTACATACCCAGAAACACAGAAAATTAAAAGGCATTAAAATAAGCTGCAACGCTTATTATGTAAATCTAATTTTGCTTAATTTAATCCATTTTGGTATTAAAATAAGCAAAATTTGGATTAAAATAATAAGCGTTGCAGCTTATATTTTAATGCCTTTTAATTTTCTGTGAAAATGGTATCTAATAAATATTTAGATATTTGATTCAAATAAATTTTTATTTAATTTAAATAAAAAATTTTATTTACGCCAAATAAATGAGCTTGTATAGGCTGCATGTGAGACAAATATACATACGTTTATTTAACTCGAAGGTGAGAAATTAAAGGCGAGTTTACAAGGCTCAATTGCTTATTTGGCGAGAAATTTAAATCATAAAATATTTTAAATTGCTTTATAAAAATAAGGGTTTCGGCATGCATGAGGTAGTGTGTGACTATACCCTATACACTCAGAGAAATGGTATACTTGTCTCCAAGCCTACTAACTCATTTATTTGTTGCAAATATATTTTATTTCATTTAAATAAAAAATTTATTTGAGCCAAAGAAAAAATTATTTATGACAAATAAAATTTTTATTTACGCCAAATAAATAATTTAGTAGGCTCTGAGACAAATATTTGTTTATTTAATTCAAATATATTTTATTTGATTCAAATAAATCATTTCTCTGGGTGTAAGAGAAAAAAATTATAAATTATTTTAAAAACTAACATTTAAAATTATTCTTTCAGCAAATTATCATTTTTGTTGCCGTTGTGATGGCCATTGTTGCTTCTACACCTTCTCCATTAAGGAGGGAAAATAATTTTGATAACTCTAATGTTGTGATTGTTAAAGAAGAATTACATAATAATATTGGTATCGATAGGTATCAATATAATTATGAACTATCGGATGGTCAGCAACGTGAGGAAAATGGAGAACTTGTCAATAATGGAAAAGAAACTGAGACATTAGTTGTGAGAGGAAGTTTTTCTTGGATTGATCCAGCAACAAATTATAAATATACAGTTAATTATGTAGCAGATGAAAATGGCTTTCATCCCGAAGGTGCACACATTCCCGCCGTTTAAATATATATATATATATATATATATATATGTATATTTCATTTTATTCGGAATAAATATGTAAATAAAAACACAATTTTCAATAAATTTCATTTCAAGTTTTCTTTTTCACATCCCTAATAATAAGAAATAATAATTTAATTAATAAATTGTTTTTTAATTATTTAATTACTTTATAAATAATCCAAAATGAAAGACATAAAAATTTATTTATCTATAAAAAAAATTATAATTTTTGAAAAAAAGTAATAAAACTATGTAAATAAACCTAATGCGATAAATCAAAAAAAAAAAAAAAAAAATGTTTATTCATTTATCATGAAAATTAATTTTTTTTTTTGAATTTAAGTTATAATTTAATATATTTATTATAATAAATGCAAATTAATGTTTGAGGGGCATCGCGTTTATCAATTTTTGCCTCTTCTCAGAATTCAAGGTGTTTGGGAATCTAATACATAATAATATACTATTTCGATAATTTTATTTATTTTTAATTTTTTTTTTCTTCCTTTTTTATGGGAATTTATTTAGAAATATAGGATTTGCTTAATAATAATTTAAAAGATCTTCCCAAAAAAAAAAGTCATCACAATTTTTTTTTTTTTTACATTTTGGTCCATGTCACCTAATGAAGGGGAATTGATTACTGCAATTCCAATGTGATGGTATATAAACGCTCGAATCGTGATCAAAAAAATCAGTCTTCACCTTTTCCCAATTCTAGTCAAGATCAGAGTATATTCCGAAATATAACTTCTGCGCGCGTAAAAGTTTCGCGTCGACGAACATCATGCGAATGGTGCGTGAAATAAATTGTGTTGTTGTGTTATTGTTATAATAATTAAAATAATAAAAAAACAATTTTTTTTTTTTATTGTAAATTTTTTTCTTTTGGTGTTTGTCAATATAAGCCAGAAAAATGTTATGTTATAAAAAAAAATACAATTTATACAAAATGAATATTTCAATATTTATAATTATAAATAAAAAAATTTTTTTAACAATTTTAAATGATTTGTTTTAAAAACAAATTAAAAACTTTTTTTTACCAAATATTAAATTCATTTTTATTTTCAAGAATATTTATTTACTATATACAATAAAATATTCATTTTTTTTTTGAAAATTTGAATTTTTATTGAAATGAAAGAAATATTTTTGTTGACATTTAAAAAAAAAAATGTTTAATTATTATAAAAATTTGTTTTATTTATACTTTTTTTTGATAAATTTTTTATTTTCATAAACAAGTTACTTGTTTGAAGATTTTCTTTTTTTTTTTTGGTGAAAAATTTAAATTATTTTTAACAATATTTGAAAAATGTTAGTGACTTTTCATTGAACGGATTGAAACATCTTATTCTTTTTTATTCTCAAATTAGAAATGAAAAATTAAAAAAAAAATTGTATCAAATGTGAATGAAAGAAAAAAGAATTTTTTTTCTCTTCTGTTATAGTTCGTCGCAATAGCAGCCCTAGTGGCAGTCGCTAGTGCCGCACAACTTCCGCACAGTATCGCAGACATAACCGGAAATTACTATCATGAACAGGAAGTATATGAACCACAAGGTTATTTCTATCCAAAGCCAAAAAATCCCTATTTACCACCAACAACAACAAGAAGACCAATTACTACAACTACTAGGAGACCCACAACAACTACTAGGAGACCCACAACAACTACTAGGAGAATTGAAAGTACCTATTTACCACCGTCAACTACTACAGCAAGGCCAATAACTACTAGAAGAATTACTACCACTACTAGAAGACCCACAACAACTACTAGGAGAATTGAGAGTACCTACTTGCCACCTGTTACTACGACCACTACTAGGAGACCCACAACTACTACTAGGCGAATTGAGAGTACCTACTTGCCACCTGTTACTACGACCACTACTAGGAGACCCACAACTACTACTAGGCGAATTGAGAGTACCTACTTGCCACCTAGTACTACCACTCCAAAACCAGTTACTAAGCAGATTTATGTACCACCTTCCTATTTGCCTCCTGAAACTACCAGGAGACCTACTACTACAACTAGGAGGCCTACTACTACTACTAGGAGACCTACTACTACTACTACAAGAAGGCCAACAACTGCAAGGTTAATAGAAAGCAGTTACTTGCCTCCTGTTACTACGACCACTACTAGGAGACCCACAACTACTACTAGGAGAATTGAGAGTACCTACTTGCCTCCTGTTACTACTACTAGAAGACCTACTACTACTAGGCGAATTGAGAGTACCTACTTACCACCCAGTACTACCACTCCAAAGCCAGTTACTAAGCAGATTTATGTACCACCTACCTATTTGCCTCCAGAAACTACCAGGAGACCTACTACTACAACTAGGAGACCTACTACTACTACTAGAAGACCAACTACTACTACTACAAGAAGGCCAACAACCGCAAGGTTAATTGAAAGCAGCTACTTGCCTCCTGTTACTACGACCACTACTAGGAGACCCACAACTACTACTGGGAGACCTACAACTACTACTAGGAGAATTGAGAGCACCTACTTGCCACCTAGTACAACTACTACAACTCCGAGACCAATTACAAAAAAACTGGAACCCACTTATCTACCTCCTGTAACTACTAGAAAACCTACTACTACAACTACAAGGCGACCTACTACCACTACTAAGAGACCCACAACAACTGTGAGAGCAACCAATGCCTATTTACCGCCTGTTGAAGAAACCAAAATCGAAAATGTCTATCATACACCTGATAATTCCTACTTGGCACCACCTAGTAGTGAATTGAGAATTGACAACGTCTATTTGGCATCGGAAGCAAGTGAAAAAATTGAAAATACAGTCTCTGCCATCGGGACAAGTGATATTGTCCTTTTAAAGGAGAAATTACACGACAATAATGGTTTAGATGGTTATCAATATAGTTATGTATTATCAGATGGACAAAAGAAAGAAGAAACAGCAGAATTAATTAATCAAGGTGAGGAGAATGAGACTGTTGCTGTACGTGGTAGTTATACATGGATTGATCCAACTACAAATCAAGAATACACTGTCAATTATGTGGCTGATGAAAATGGATTCCAAGCCGAAGGAGATCATTTACCTCGTGTTTAAATTGTATATTCAGTGTTTTTTTTTTTTTTGTTTTTTTTTAAGAAAAAAAGAAGAAGAAAGCGAGAAAATAAAAAAAAAATAAAAAACATATTTCCCTTTTATCATTACTGATGTAGAATTTTTTATTCATATATATATCCTCTTGGGTAATGCATATATATAGTATTATCTGCATAAGAAAAGATATAAATAAGATAATGCAGATAAAATTCTATCTAAATAAGATAATCTTGTCCATGCAAGAAAACCTTGTTGTTTTTCTAACTCGGACAATATTATAATCTGATTCAGAAAATCTACTCTCTAAATCTGAATTAGTAAAAATGTTTACTAATTTAAATTATAGTAACTTACTTTTTGCTTTAGAATTAGTTAAATTTTACTAATTGTTAGTAAAAGTTACTAATAATTAGTAAAAATTTTACTAATTCAGAAGCAATAAGTAAGTTACTAATTTAAATTAGTAAACATTTTAGAATTTTAGAATTAGTTAAATTTTACTAATTGTTAGTAAAAGTTACTAATAATTAGTAAAATTTTACTAATTCAGAAGCAAAAAGTAAGTCACTAATTTAAATTAGTAAACATTTTAGAATTTTAGAATTAGTTAAATTTTACTAATTGTTAGTAAAAGTTATACTAATAATTAGTAAAAATTTTACTAATTCAGAAGCAAAAAGTAAGTTACTAATTTAAATTAGTAAACATTTTAGAATTTTAGAATTAGTTAAATTTTACTAATTGTTAGTAAAATTTTACTAACAATTAGTAAAATTTTACTAATTCAGAAGCAAAAAGTAAGTTACTAATTTAAATTAGTAAACATTTTAGAATTTTAGAATTAGTTATATTTTACTAATTGTTAGTAAAAGTTACTAATAATTAGTAAAAATTTTACTAATTCAGAAGCAAAAAGTAAGTCACTAGATGAAATTAGTAAACATTTTTACTAATTCAGATTTAGAGAGTAGATAAACTTTTATAATATAATATTATCTAGATAATATTGTTTAGTTAAGATAATATCAACTGATTCAGATTATTTAGATATATTGTTGTTCAAATAACTGATAGGATAATCTATACAAAAAAAATTATCTAAAATATGACGAGATAAATTTATCATGATTATCTTATCTACATTATATTTTCTCCGGACAATATTTTATGGATTATTTTATCCAAATATTGTAATTTATCTTATTTTGGCTAAATAATATTATCTGAATTATCTTATCTAAATGGTGTTATTTATATATATATATTATCTTTTTAATGATAATTTCATTTAAACACAGAGAAACACGACTAATTTTAGGAAAATAATTCTGATTTTCCCATAAAATTAAAAGGCATTAAAATAAGCTGCAACGCTTATTATTTTAATCTAATTTTGCTTATTTTAATCCATTTTGGTATTAAAATAAGCAAAATTGGATTAAAATAAGGAGCGTTGCAGCTTATTTTAATGCCTTTTAATTTTCTGTGTTTTTTCAAATTGACAAATTAATTTTTTGTATAAGTAAACGTTTTGTTAAAAATTTAAGAAAATTCCTTTTACTTTTCCGCATACATCACTGTTGTGATGTTTTACAAGAAAATGTTTAAAAATATATATAATGAATAATACAAAAAATTACTGAAAAACATACTCTACGAGAAAAATGATTTTTATAATTTGTAAGAATTAAATAAACATTTTTATTGTACAATTATAAAATTGATTGTAAAACTATAAAAATAAAAGAAAAAAAAAACATTATTTTATTAATAATATTGTGTTTTTAATTTAATTTCTCACTTAAAACTTAAATAATTGATTTGATTATTAACAAAATGGTAACCAAAAAAAATATTTTCCAATTTCATTCTTTAACAATTTGTAAATAATACCATAATAATTTTAATTTTACTCTCTAAATCTAAATTAGTAAAAATGTTTACTAATTTAAATTAGTGACTCACTTTTTGCTTCTGAATTAGTAAAATTTTACTAATTATTAGTAACTTTTACTAACAATTAGTAAAATTTAACTAATTCTAAAGCAAAAAGTGAGTCACTAATTTAAATTAGTAAACATTTTTACTAATTCAGATTTAGAGAGTAATCAGCATATTATAATCAATTAAAATTTTATCATATATTTTTGTTTTTTATTATTATTACTAGCAAAACAGGAGCACGCAAATTCACGCTACCAGCATAGTTACAAAAAATTAAATGGCATATTAAAATAAGCTGCAACGCTTCTTATTTTAATTCAATTTTGCTTATTTTAATCCATTTTGGTATTAAAATAAAATGCGTCGCAGCTTATTTTAATGCCTTTTAATTTTCTGTGGTATTATAAAATTAAAAATATTATGTTTTGAAAAAATATTAAAAAAATTTTTTTTTTAAAGAACCTACTGTTTACGATATATATTGTATATATATATAATGTTAAATAACAAAATTTGCAATTTAAATTTTGCGGTAAAATTTACATAAAAAGGTGCTTAAAAAATAACCTTTATTTAATTGGCCCCCAAGATAATCTTTTTTATCTTTTTTTCATAATATCTTCTCTAAACCTCTTCCGTCGTATAAATTTATTATCGATTGCGGATAATTTTAGAGCAGATCTCTCTTTATTAAGAAAAGAAAGAAACTATACCTTTAAAAATTGTTCTCTTAAAAAATAATTTATGCGCATATTATAGAAAGAAAACAATAAGAAATCAGATAATCAAATATGTATATAAAATTATATTGTATTTGAAAATTTTTGAATAAAATTTTATATTCCGTATATAATTGAATATCTATTATTCACCCCATTCAATGTTAATATATAAATACAAAATGAAAACAAAATTTCTGTCTAAATTATTGAGGGTATATACTGTATTCTGTAATTATATCAAGATACTTTATAGGTATTTATATCTATATTAATAAAATCAGACTTTTGTCTGTACATTGCTCCAAATTAATTTTTTCTTGCATAGTTTATCATTTTAAGTAGTAAAGATAACAAATATGCCATAAATAAAAATTCTGTCTGTCTGTCTGTCTGTCGTCAATATTTTGTACCGGCACAACTTTAAAACGGCTCAAACGATTGAGGTGAAACTTGGCAGTGTATTCAGTCTTAACGTAACTTAAAATCTTAGCCATATTTGATTAAAAAATATTAACATGAACGAAAGTTATGACATTTTTTCAAAAAATTTAAAAAAATCAAAAAAATGCAAATTTTTTATTTTTTGTCAAATTGATTTGAAACTATTTGTACCTAATTTTTTCACATAAATACAATCATTTTTTTTTATTAAATTAAGTAAATAGTCTGAATTTAAAAGTCTAAATCAAATTTTTGAATTTCCAATTTTTTTAATAACATTGTAATATAAGAATTCGTTATGTTCAACTTTTTATAAATAAAACAATAATGTTTTTAGTCTGTTGGGTATTAAACGCAATCTTAGCTGCACATCAATGAAAAATATTAATTTAAACAAAAATATGACACTTTCAAAAAATTTTAAAAATTTAACATTTCTTATTTTTTGATAATTCTTTACTAAATGTTCTTTATTTAAAATTTTGTGACCAATTAAGTATGCTTTTAACAAGAAATTTTAAGAATTTTAATTTAAGAATTTTATCAGAATTTTAAAATTAATAATGTCAAATCTAAATATGAAATCAGATATTGTAAAAATAAAAAATCGAAAATTACTTTTTTACTCTTTGAAATTAGATCCAATTGGATGTAATTATAAATTTCAAAATTTATTAAATCTAAATATTATAACCGTCGAAGACGGGTGCGACAGCTAGTATATAATAAAATTGAATTATATATTACTTGAAATTTTTCTATCTACTTTATTTATATTAAATAAGAAAGTTAATCTATATATACATATAAAGTAGATAAACCCTTTTCTTCTTTAAAGGACAATGAAAATAGCGTTTCATGGTTACGAGAGTAGACTATCAAAAAAAATTATTTCTTTTTTCCTATTCATTTATTCATATGTATATTTCTAATATAAAATTTTAATTTCCCAACATGTAAAATGTATCAATTTTCACTCCTTTTTTCAATGAAACATACGCCATAAGAATATATATATATATACTATATTCTATAAATATATATAAATATTGATAAATGTCATGAAATATAAATTTTTTTGATATAATCACTTTTTCACAAGAATATTTAATTTATGAATAAGACACCTAATGGCAATTGCTAAATTAAAATATATAAAAATAGAAATAGTTAATAGAGTCTTAACCTTTCTATTTAAATTTTAGTATATCAAATATTTACATTTTTTTTTGTAAAAAGGTCAAGTGACCATATATTTGAATTAATTTTTCAAGTTCAATTTTAAATAATATAGAGTTTAAACCTTGACAGTGCTTATAAGCTTTTTTTTTTAATCAACTATTCATAGAAATAAAATCGTAATCGCATTTAAAATTATACAAATCAAAAGAATTTAGAATATTTTTCTTCATATATATAAATTAATATCGAAAAATAAACAAAATTTTAAAAAGAAGAAAAAACATCTTAATCTAAAAATTCAAAAAAATTATTTAAAGAAAGTAATTCAATTAATAAAATTATTTATTTAATAATAAATAATAAAAATATATAACGTTTCGAAAATTATTTAATTTAATTGAAGAAAAATACCTAAGAAGCAAAAATTATAGGTTATGTTTATGATAACTTGCAGTGAAAATATATATATATATATACACAACTCTCAATACAAATGTTTAAGTTTTAATTAGGTATTAAAAATAGAAACTAATTTTGATTATACACGTATAATTGAAAAGAAAATATGCCTAATAATCGCAAGAGTAAAACTATCGTTAACATAACCTATAATTTTTTTCTTCTAAGGTCCTTTTCTTTAAAGCACACAAGGAAGAATTATTATTATAATTATTATTATTATTATTATATTTATTATTATTATTATTATTATTATTATTATTATTATTACTTTATTTATATTCAGAATTATTTTGTAATGATTTTTTAAAATTATTTAATACTTTTATAAAATTAAATGAAATATTAAAATATATTTTAATTTACAATTATAGTATATTTTTTATTAATATTAATACTATAAATTAAAATATTGTTTTTAAATTATATTATTCAATTAAAAAATATATATTTATTTTTTCATTGAAACATTTATGATTTTTTTAAGGTTTTCTCTTTTATAAATATTAATATTTTTTAATTGATTCCATATGCTATATTTAACTTTATATTTTCTTTTCGTTCTTTTTTTTCCCTTCATTATACACAAATAAATGACGATTTCCATAAAAATCTGCAGTTTTTGAATATCTGAATATCTCATAATATATATATATACACATTTTGATAAAAATTGCTTGCTTAATATTAGAAGCGGGTTTTTCTGTGTGCGCTCTTAAAAAAAAAAAACCCGTCATCGCATATCATGAATTCAGGGTCAAAAATTTGGAAATTTAGGAATATCATTTTTATATCTGGAAGGGACTAGATCACTAGAACTCGAACAGGTATATAAACCCCAGACACTGTTTATGTAATTAGTCATTTTCTTAACTCCTCCAATTCCGGTAAACATCAAAAAACAAACACACACACATTTTTGGTGTATGGTGATTGTGCAAAAAAAAAAACAACTTTTTTTTTTAATAGAAGAAAAAAGTAATTTTGTTTATCTTTTTTCCAAAAAACTCCAGCAACATGAAAGTGGTGCGTGTAAAAAAAACATGTATTTTTGAAATTATTAGATAAAAATTGTTTTTAAATATTAATATTGATTATTAATTTAATAAAAAAATTTTTTTTTAATTTTTCTTAAACTTTTACACGTGACTAGCTCTGATGAAAAAAATTTAACAAACAGAAAATTTTATAGCATATATTTATGACTATTGAATGTAAAACAAAGAAAAATAGATCAATTATTCTCAATACATAACCTATAATAATTTTATGTTTCTTAGAGTGCAATTTCCAATTGTAGAAACATTAAAAATTTTGTTTTGGAAGAAAATTTTTTTTTAAATTACAATTAAAAAAATTTATTTATAAAAAATAAATAAATACATAAGTTCTTCAATTATTTTTAGTTCTTTGCTGTTGCGGCTCTTGTGGTCGTAGCAACTAATGGTCAACTTTTCAATGATATTCCGGATTCATCAGTTCCTCATTATTCAGCAATAATTAACGAGAGAGAACCTAATGGTTATCATTATGGAAAACCATCGAATCCATTACCACTACCAAATCAGCCAAAACCAGAAGGCTATCACTATGAAAAACCACAGAATCCATTACCTTTGCCAAATAAACCAAAACCAGAAGTAAGAAAACCAGAAGGTTATCATTACAATAGACCGCAAAATCCACTCCCATTGCCAAATGAACCGAAACCAGAAGTGAGAAAACCAGAAGGATATCATTATGAGAAACCACAAAATCCATTACCTTTGCCAAATGAACCAAAACCGGAAGTAAAGAAACCAGAAGGATATCATTATGAGAAACCACAAAATCCACTCCCTTTGCCAAATGAGCCGAAACCGGAAGTAAGGAAACCAGAAGGTTATCATTATGAGAAACCACAAAATCCACTACCTTTGCCAAATGAGCCAAAACCGGAAGTGAGGAAACCAGAAGGATATCATTATGAGAAACCACAAAATCCACTCCCTTTGCCAAATGAGCCAAAACCGGAAGTGAGGAAACCAGAAGGATATCATTATGAGAAACCACAAAATCCACTCCCTTTGCCAAATGAGCCGAAACCGGAAGTAAGGAAACCAGAAGGTTATCATTATGAGAAACCACAAAATCCACTACCTTTGCCAAATGAGCCAAAACCGGAAGTTAGAAAACCAGAAGGTTATCACTACGAAAAACCACAAAATCCACTACCTTTGCCAAATGAGCCAAAACCGGAAGTTAGAAAACCAGAAGGTTATCACTACGAAAGACCACAAAATCCATTACCTTTGCCAAATGAGCCAAAACCGGAAGTGAGGAAACCAGAAGGATATCACTACGAAAAACCACATAATCCACTACCTTTGCCAAATGAGCCAAAACCGGAAGTAAGGAAACCAGAAGGATATCATTATGAGAAACCACAAAATCCACTACCTTTGCCAAATGAGCCAAAACCGGAAGTCAGAAAACCAGACGGTTACCAATATCCAATACCATCGAATCCGTTACAATTACCAAATACTTTCTAATTCATTTTTTTTTCTTAATTAAAAAAATAGAAAGAATGAATTTGTGATTATACCGAAAAAAGATTTCATACATAATTGTCACGATAAAATAGATTTTAAAATGAAGATCAAAATTTTTTTTTAGAACACAAAAAATAAGTAAATTTCAAAAAAAAAAAAATTAGAATGAATTTACCAAAAATAAATAAAATTTTGAATTAGTAAATATATTTTATATAAAAATTGTCATGTTTCTAATGCCATATATAATTTTACAGGTACTGTATAAGTATTGTTGATTATAGAAGAAATTTTATCTTTTTTTTTGGTATTAATTAACATAATAGAAGAATATTTTGTAAAATTATTTTTGCAAATAAAAATAATTTTTTAAATTACCAATCCAATTGTTTTTTTATCCCTCTTTCTACTTTATCGAAAGATTATTTTAATTATCATTTTTATTATTATTATTATTATTATTATTATTATTATTATTATTATTATTATTAATAAATATTTCAGATGTTCCAATTAATATTTAATAAAAAATTCGATTATTGGCAATCTTTTTGGAACTCAGTAAAAGACAAATTATTATTATTATTATTATTATTATTATTATTATTATTATTATTATTAAAATTGTAGTAATTTTTATATTAATATTATTAAATTACTTGATATTTATTATTTGAATAATACACAAATGTCAAGACAGTATAATAATAGATTATTTTTTTAAAATTGGAAATCATCTTTTTTTGTATTATAGCTTTTTAAAAGTAAAAACCTGCTTTTAGAAAAATTTAAATGACATGTACGTCATTCTATTTGCATAAAAAAATTAAAATATTCAAAATCATCATTTTTATTACTATGATAGAGATTTTTCGTCTTCTTTTACATATTATATATAGACATCTCAAACAAATTTTATATATATTTATTTTACTGTTTTTTTTGAAAAATCATTATTATTTATTTTTTGTACATTAATAGTATAATATAATATAACATAATATATATATAAGAAAACACTTAAGCAAAAACAAATAAAAATTATATTAAATAATTTTATACGTTATATTAATATTTTCACTATAATTAATCACCGATTCAATTAAAAATTCATTTATCGACCTTTCGTTGTGGTTCACTATATTATGATAAAGGATTTTGAAATGGATTCTCTCCATACACGTACCGTTGAAAGGGTTAAGAATTTATTTTTCAAAACTTCTGTTGGCTTAAAGTTGTTGAATTCTTTTTCTATTCTCGAATCATTCACGAGATGAGGAAGAAAAAAACAGGTCCTAATGACCAATGATATTTAAATATAGAAAAATGTTTATTTGCTTTCCAATTTCTCGAATGATACATTATTAATAATCTGTATATATATATATATATATATATATATGACATAGTTTTTGGGGAAACTGCTTTATTGCGCAATTATAGGAAAGAAAATAAACTTTCTCGATCACATTTTTATGATACATTATAAATAAGCAATGCAGTGAAATTCCAAATATATTAGATTAGAAATTTTTTTTCCAAGTCCTAATTTTTTTTTCTCTTTCTCTCTCTCATCATTTTAGGGAAGGGATTTGAAAATTTTTTTACTAAAGATATTTCAAAATACATCAAAAGTGTAAGATATATAAATACTAGATGATCGACTAGAAAATATCTCATTAGTTGTTTAACAGTTTTCAATTTCGGTTGGGGAAGAAAAAGAATTTAAGTGTTATATCATTGGTGCCTCTTCAACGAGGACAAAGGAGTATCAAGATGAAAGTGGTGTGTAACAAAAAAAAAGTGTCATTAATATATTATGATAATAGTTGCGCGTGTTTAATGCGGTTGGTAAATTTTTAAATTTTTAAATTGCGTACCAACACAAACGGCGCGAAAATTTAAATGAGAAATTTTTGTTTTTTTCTATTTATAACAATACCTAATAATGATAATAATAAATTAATTGTTAATACTAATTCTTATTTTTATATTGTCAAAAAAACTATTAGAAATTCAATATTAATTTAAAAAAAAATAAAAAACTGATCTAACAAAATTGAAATTTTTTTTTACAGCTGATTGCTTTCGGTACGTTTGTGGCACTTGCAAGTGGTGGACTACTTCCATACAACAACAATGGTTACAATTCTCATCAAAATCCATCGTTAGACTATGATTATTCAAAGCCAATTGTAGTTAAAACGCCAAGTATGGCGCCATCTACAACAACATTAAAAAGACCGAATTTAGCACCAGAACCATTTATGATACTTGAATCATTCTCATCATCATTAACACCTCAACATAGTGTGAAAAATGATCGTTTTTATTTACCAGTGCCACCAAATGTTTCTTATTTGTCGTCAATAGTTAACGCAAATTATTCACCAAAAACTAATGCAAATTCAGCAGCAATAAAAAATAAAAATTTTCCACTAGGAGTAAACATGAATTCAGCATCAAGTGGTAACGTGATATTTCCATCAAATGTGAACATGAATTACGTATCGACTGGAAACACAAATTTTGCATCAACAGTAAATACGAATTCTCCAATAAATATTAATAATAATTATGCACCAGCAATAAACGCGAATTATGAACCAACATCAAACACAAATTTTGCACCATCTAGAAGCACGAATTTTAAACCAACATTAAACACAAATTATGTACCAACATCAAAAACGAATTCTGCAACAATTATAAATACGAATTATGAACCAGCAGTAAACACGAATTATGTACCAACATCAAACACAAATTTTGCACCATCTAGAAGCACTAATTTTAAACCATCATTAAACACGAATTATGTACCAACATCAAAAACGAATTCTGCAACAATTATAAACACAAATTATGAACCAGCATTAAACATGAATTATGTACCAACATCAAAAACGAATTCTGCAACAATTATAAACACAAATTATGAACCAGCATTAAACATGAATTATGTACCAACATCAAAAACGAATTCTGCAACAATTATAAACACGAATTATGAACCAGCAGTAAACACGAATTATGCACCAACATCAAATATGAATTTTAAACCAGTAGAAAGCACAAATTTTGCGCGAACTGAAAACACGTATTTTGCTCCAGTAGTAAACAAGAATTTTACACCAACAGAAACAATTAATAGATTTCGCACTGCTACAAGTTCTGAAACGTCAGGAAGATATTATACACCAAAGAAGAGTCAAACGAATGCAACAAATTTTGGTAATATTGAGTCAACTATTTCAGCTGAGCAACAATATTTTACGCCTGTTCTTTCAAATGAATTCAAAAATTATCAATTGGACCATGGGGAGACTTCAAATCAGAAAAATGATAACAAATATATGGCGCAAAAACAAGCACAAAATTTTGAGAGAACTCAGCATACTCATTCGATACAAACAGTGAACAATGTGAAATCTGCATTGATGCAAAATGTTGAAAATTCGTATTTTGCACCTGCAACAATGGCTACAGCAAACAGATTCTATTTACCAGCACTTATCAAAAATCATGATGCAACAGTACCAGCGAAAACGATTAACAATTCCTATTTTGCATCGAAACCAACTGAAATGATTGATAATTCCAATTTAGCACCAGCACCTACTAAAATGGCTGAGAATTCTTACTTAGCACCTGAACCAACAAAAGTCAGTAATGGATATTTCGCACCAGTACCAACAAAAACAATTGATACATCATATTCAGCATCTGACTCAACAAAAACGGTTGGGAATTCCTACTCAGCGCATGAACCAACAAAAGAAAAAAATGGATATTTTGCACCAACATCAACAAAAACAGTTAATTCTTCATACTTAGCACCAAAAGCAACAAAAACTATGAAGACTTTTATCTCAGCAATTGAACCAACTAAAATGGTTGATAATACTTACTTTGCACTTGCACCACCAAAAGATGAACCTGTATCAAAAGTAACACCTGATAGAACCTATTTAGCTACAAAAACACAAACTCATGATGCAACATTTGAATCGCAAAAAACTCATTTAACATCTGAACAATCGACAAAAATGCAGAAATCTCGAACAACTGGCTCAAATATAAAACAAGGACGTGTGCCTGTAAAAAGAATTAAAAGAATTCGCACAACACCAGCGCCAACTGTTGACAATTCATATCGACCACAATCAGCGTTGATCAGAAAATCTCAGAAAACACGTACAACACCAGCACCAATTGTAGACACTTCTTACATTCCATCAGCTAATCAAAAATCCACTACCACCACCACTACCACTTCTGCACCATCTGTGCAAGAAACTGAATTAGTTGATGATTCTTATTTACCAGCTGTGTCTGATATAAAGAACATCGAAAATTCCTTTTTGAAATATGAACCAACAAAGCAGAATTATTTTTCCTCGGCACCAATCGAGATACTTGAGAGTTCAAATATGGCAGAAATGATACAAAAAAGTGAATATTACCAAAAGACATCTGCACCCAAAGATAACAAAGATTCTTACTTAATATCCAATCCAATTATGTATGATCAAATTTTCTACAATCCACCGACTCCGACATTGAATATTAAGAACAATTATTTTATTCCTCAACCAAGGCAAAACAATGGCAATTCCTATTTAGCGCCAGCAACAGAAACTATTGACAACTCTTACTTAGCTCCAACAAGAACAGTTGAGAATTCTTACTTTGCCCCGGCACCAACAAAAATGGTTAAAGATTCTTATATGGCTCCTATTTCATCAAAACTAATTGAAGAATTGAACTTGGCTCCGGCGCCAAAAAAGACGATTGAAAATTCCTACATAACACCGGCAACAACAATGCAGATTGAAGACTTCAATTTGCCTTCTGTCCCATCAAAACCAATGGAAGATTTATATCGAGTTCCAACGCCAACAAAGACAATTGAGAATTCTTACTTAGTTCCAGCACCAGAAAAGAAAATTAAAGATTCCTACTTGCCTCCTACCTCATCAATACCAGTTGAAGAGTTGTACCGAGCACCTACAAAGAAAATTAAAGATTCCTACTTGCCTCCTGCCTCATCAAAATCAGTTGAAGAGTTGTATCGAGCACCGTTGCCAACAAAGCAAACTGAAGATTCCTACTTAGCTCAGGCTCCAATAAAGAAGATTAAAAATTCCTATTTTCCTTCTGCATCACCAAAACCAGTTGAAGATTTAGACCATGTCCCGGCACCAAAACAGACGATTGATAATTCCTACTTAGCTCCAGTCCAAACAACGAAGATTAAAGATTCCTACTTGCCTCCTGCATCACCAAAACCAGTTGAAGATTTAGACCATGTCCCGGCACCAAAACAGACGATTGATAATTCCTACTTAGCTCCAGTGCCAACAACGAAGATTAAAGATTCCTACTTGCCTCCTGCATCATTGAAACCAGTTGAAGATTTGCATCAAGTTCCAGCACCAACACACTTGATTGAAAATTCCCGTTTGACGCCCACCAAAACTTTTATTCAACCCGCAAAATTATCACCAATTGAAATAAATTCCGGCCTATCTTCGATAAAAAATATTGTCACCAACAATGAAGCAACTTCTATTACAAATTCCAATGATCATAACATTTCCCTTATTAGTGAAACTTTACAGGACAACATTGGAATTGATGGCTATGAATATCAATATACACTTTCCGATGGACAAAAAAAAGAGGAATCAGCACAATTAATAAATCAAGGCACTAAAAGTGAATCAATTGTTGTTAAAGGAAGTTATTCATGGTTTGATCCACTAACAAATAAACGTTACACTGTTAATTATGTGGCTGATGAAAATGGTTTTCATGCAGAAGGTGAACACATTCCACGAGTTTAAAATTTTCAATAATTGTTTACATATATATATTATTTAAGATAGAATGTTAATTTGTTTTATTTTTTTAAAGTTATATTTTGTTATCATTTTTTTTTTTATAAAGTCTGTTATATATAATTTATGATTTCAGATGTTTTCTACTGTGAAATTCTGTGATATATTGCACTGAAATTATAATAATAAAGATTTTTTTAAAAAACATTTTGTTGTTTTGTTTCTTTTTATTATGTTATCTAATTGTATGTTAGACTGTTAATATGGCAACGGTTAGTATAGCATCATTTACTATAAAGAAATATTTTTAAGAACGCACCAAGAAGAGGGAATAATCATAGTCGAATTTTAGAACGAAATTTAAATCGCAATTTTTTTGTATTTCGCAACAATCGAAATCGAGAAGTTTTACAAAATATATATATTTCAAAAATCAACTGAAAAAACCGCTGTCAAATTGAAGTAGAAATGTTTTGTGTTCACATTATGAATACTTTGCTTCCTCAGGGAGATTTTTTGTGATTAATTTATGGCAACTTATTTATTATAATACTTTTAAAAAGGTGTTAACTTGTATTTTTAGGGCATTTAAAGAGATAGATTTTTATCATCAATAACATCGTAATATTTTATAATACATAAAAAGTTCAATAATAAAAAAAAAAAATTAAGTAAATATTAAATTTAGATTTCATTAATTAATAAATTTTTAATATAAGAGGGAATTAAATTAATATTAGTGGAAAAAAGTTAAATAATAAAATAGTAAATTTAAAAAGGGTTCAATAAAAGAGCAAGAATTATAGGAAATATAAAATGTAGGAAATGTAGTAAATATAGGAAATATAGGAAATATAGGAAATATAAAATGTAGGAAATGTAGTAAATATAGGAAATATAAAATGTAGGAAATGTAGTAAATATAGGAAATATAGCAAATATAAAATGTAGGAAATGTAGTAAATATAGGAAATATAGGAAATATTAAAAAGTAGGAAATGTAGTAAATATAGGAAATATAAAATGTAGGAAATGTAGTAAATATAGGAGATAAAATGTAGGAAATGTAGTAAATATAGGAAATATAAAATGTAGAAAATGTATTAAATATAGGAAATATAAAATGTAGGAAATGTAGTATATATAGGAAATATAAAATGTAGGAAATGTAGTAAATATAGGAAATATAAAATGTAGGAAATGTAGTAAATATAGGAAATATAAAATGTAGGAAATGTAGTAAATATAGGAAATATAGGAAATATAAAATGTAGGAAATGTAGTAAATATAGGAAATATAAAATGTAGGAAATGTAGTAAATATAGGAAATATAGCAAATATAAAATGTAGGAAATGTAGTAAATATAGGAAATATAGGAAATATTAAAAAGTAGGAAATGTAGTAAATATAGGAAATATAAAATGTAGGAAATGTAGTAAATATAGGAGATAAAATGTAGGAAATGTAGTAAATATAGGAAATATAAAATGTAGGAAATGTAGTAAATATAGGAAATATAAGAAATATAGGAAATATAAAATGTAGGAAATGTAGTAAATATAGGAAATATAAAATGTAGGAAATGTAGTAAATATAGGAAATATAGCAAATATAAAATGTAGGAAATGTAGTAAATATAGGAAATATAGGAAATATTAAAAAGTAGGAAATGTAGTAAATATAGGAAATATAAAATGTAGGAAATGTAGTAAATATAGGAGATAAAATGTAGGAAATGTAGTAAATATAGGAAATATAAAATGTAGAAAATGTATTAAATATAGGAAATATAAAATGTAGGAAATGTAGTATATATAGGAAATATAAAATGTAGGAAATGTAGTAAATATAGGAAATATAAAATGTAGGAAATGTAGTAAATATAGGAAATATAGGAAATATAAAATGTAGGAAATGTAGTAAATATAGGAAATATAAAATGTAGGAAATGTAGGAATTGTAGTAAATATAGGAAATATAAAATGTAGGAAATGTAGTAAATTTAGGAAATATAGCAAATATAAAATGTAGGAAATGTAGTAAATATAGGAAATATAAAATGTAGGAAATATATAAAAATGTAAAAAATGTAAAAAAAATGCAAATTTTTTTGAAAATTTGTAAGAATTATATCAATAGATTAATTGATTCGTTTTTAAATATTCTCAAAGTTATTCATAATAATTTTAAAGTTACATAAAGATTTAAAAAAAAAAAATTCAAAAAAGGCAGATTTTGTTTATTATTACAATTTTTTTATTAGAGTCGATTTTAGTTGAAATTAAAAATTCTATCTTTGAATTTTTTCCATGAGAAAAATTTCCAAAATATTTAAATAGTTTACTGCTTAAAAGTATATATATATATATATATTGATTTTTGGGTGAATTAAAATAAAAACGGACAATTGCGATTTTTTTTGCTTTTTATTTTTAAAAATACGTATAATTAATTATCCTTAGACACTAGGAATGTGAGCGCCTTCAGGATGGAATCCATTTTCATCGGCAACATAAGTGACAGTGTAGAGTTGATTTGTTGCCGGATCAACCCATGAGAAACTTCCACGTACGACAATTGCCGCATTTTCTGTTCCTGGATTTATTAAATGTGCCGATTCCTCTCGCTGTTGACCGTCGGATAATTGAAAATTGTATTCATATTTATCGAGTCCAATATTGTCGTGTAAAAGTTCCTTGACGACGACAACGTCTTCAGTTTTTTGCAACTTTTGTGGTGCTCCAAAAGCAATGGCCACAAGGGCAGCGACGACAATTATCTGCGAAACAAAAATAATCACTTTTATATTTTTCACCTTGCCATTTTCAAATTTTATTAATAATTTTTCATTTTTTTTTTGGCGATTGTAAATTTAAATTCAATTTATTAAATAAAAAGTACAATGAAAAAAACGTTTTTTTATCAAAAGTTAAAACTAATTGAAAATTTAAAAATTAATGAATAATGAATGTTAAAAATAATTTCGAATTAAATTTTTTCTTGTTTTTTTATTTAATTTTATTACTTTTCGTGCTTTAAATTTTTTTTAATTTATTTCTTTTTACCCTTATTGAAAATTATAGAAAAAATTTTGTACACACCAATTTCATCATGATGATTTTGTTATTCAACGAGAATAAAAAAATAGATTTGATATTTTTTTTTCAATTTTCAAAGAATGACTGATTTCTTAGAGAAGATTCGCATCTTTTTATACTTTTTTTTTATTCAAATTTTTTGGCTATACCCCCTCCCCCACACTCATATCTAAAAGAATTTTCGCAAATGTCAAAGAGGCTACTTTTGCCTTTTTTTCCAATTCAATAAAATTATGTAGATATTTTGCATATATTTTAGCATATATTGGTCCCATCTTTAATTAAATTTCATAATATAGCTTTCTGTGTTACATGATAAAAAAAAATTTACATTCTTTTGTATATATTTTAAAAAAATTAGAGAATCATTTTCAAAAATTTTGTAATTTTTATTTAAGAATAAATTTTTTCTTTTATATAAATATTCAGTAATTAATAATAAATTACATAATAAAAAAATAATTAATAATAATTACAAAATTTATTTAATTCGTATTTTTCAAAACTTTTTTTTTAATAGTTATTAAATTTCAAAAACTAGTAAAGAAATTTACAAAAAAAAATGTATTATTATATTTAAATTCGATAAAGTTGCTTTATATCATAAAAAAAAATTTTCATGAATTACGTGAATCTGAAATTTTTATCAAGGTCAATAATGTGGTGGGAGTGCTAATTCGCAAAATTCTCACCACTATATAAACTGACGCAACTCAAAGTCATTTAGTCATAATCGTTGCCTAATTTTATTGATCATCATCTCTTGATATTCTTTCATAGAAAAAAAAACCTCTTTAGGCAATCATGAAAGTGGTATGTAATTTCAAAAAAAAAAAAAAGAAAAAATTTAATTCGAAATTATTTTTAAATTTTTAAATTTTCAATTAGTTTTAACTTTTGATAAAAAAAACGTTTTTTTCATTGTACTTTTTATTTAATAAATTAAATTTAAAAAATTTTAAATCGCCAAAAAAAAAAATGAAAAATTATTAATAAAATTTGAAAATGGCAAGGTGAAAAATATAAAAGTGATTATTTTTGTTTCGCAGATAATTGTCGTCGCTGCCCTTGTGGCCATTGCTTTTGGAGCACCACAAAAATTGCAAAAAACTGAAGACGTTGTCGTCGTCAAGGAACTTTTACACGACAATATTGGACTCGATAAATATGAATACAATTTTCAATTATCCGACGGTCAACAGCGAGAGGAATCGGCACATTTAATAAATCCAGGAACAGAAAATGCGGCAATTGTCGTACGTGGAAGTTTCTCATGGGTTGATCCGGCAACAAATCAACTCTACACTGTCACTTATGTTGCCGATGAAAATGGATTCCATCCTGAAGGCGCTCACATTCCTAGTGTCTAAGGATAATTAATTATACGTATTTTTAAAAATAAAAAGCAAAAAAAATCGCAATTGTCCGTTATTATTTTAATTCACCCAAAAATCAATATACATATACTTTTAAGTAGTAAACTATTTAAATATTTTGGAAATTTTTCTCATGGAAAAAAATTCAAAGACAGAAATTTTTAATTTCAACTAAAATCGACTAATAAAAAAATTGTAATAATAAAATATTTATTGTCTTTAGTAAAAAAAAAAAATACAACGAATACCATAAAATTTTTTTGTAAAATTTCGACAGTTGTGAAACACAAAAATTTGCGATTTACATTTTGCGCCAAAAATAGAATTTCTAATTATTTTATTCCTTATAACAACGAAGTTCTAGTTGAAATTATTTTTTTTAAAAACTAAGTTTCTTGTTATAAAGCATTAATAATTGAACCAACCCAGGTGAAACGATTCTACGGAAATTCCGTACGGAAATTCCACACGGAATTCCGTAAAAATTATATACGGAATTCCGCAAAAATTTCTGCAAAATTTTTGAAAGAAGTTCTTTTGTAATATTGCGAATTTTTTATAAGAATTACTCACATAATCTCTGTACAGAATTGCACAAAATTTTTGTTAGAATTTCACAACTGTACATACTGAAAAAAATTTAGCCGAAATCCTCAACTATACCTTTAGTTAACTGACTTGAAAGTAGTAAAAGTAACTACTTTTTTGGTTATTTTAACTATGTATGTCAATTTAACTATTTTTTATGAAGTTAAGAATTAGTAGTTAATTGTACTTAACAAAAGTAGTTAAATCAACTTCAAAAATTAGAACAATTACAAAATCTCCTTGACCCAACTAAATTCTTAGTTCTTTCAACTACATTTAAAAGTCCATACAACTTTTTAAATTCAGTTAAGGACCTATTGAACTATGCAGGGTATAGTTAAAAAGTAGTCAAATCTACTAGTTTTTTTATTGAGTGTATTTTTTACTGATTTTTTTGTAATTTTAAAATAACTGCTGGTGCGGATACACTGAAAAAAATTAGTCGAGAAATTCAACTACCGTTAGTTAGTTGACTGAAAAATAGTAAATTTCTTTTGGAAAACGTTTTATTGACCTCTCAAATAAGTTCGACTAGATATTAATTAATCTATCATAAATTCTATATTATATCCACCAGGAACATCATCGCGTCGACTAGTTTTCGTTATAGTAGCAGCAGTTATTTTAAAATCACAAAAAAATTAGCAAAAAATGGAATTTTATTGAAAATTTTGTGCAATTCTGTATGGAATTCTTCCAAAAAAAAATTCGCAAAATTACGAAAGGAATACCTTCAAAATTTTACGGAATTCCGTATAGAATTTTTGCGAAATTCCGTACGGAATTTCCGTGGAGTGATTTCCGTAGAATCGTTTCACCTGGGAACGGATCGTAGAAGGGATCATAGAATTCAATTAATGAAATTCTAATTTTTAAAATCTACTGAAAATGCAACCTGTTGGTTTTGTTTCGATATCATCCACATTTTCTTACCTAACATATATAACATGAATATATAAAAAAGATTATTTTACCAAAATTTTATGTATGAATTACCTAACGATTCATTATTCGAAAAAATTTAATATGAGATTAAAATATACTGCGCGCATTATATATATATATATACATATTGGAAAAAGGGATTTGAAATTTTAAATGAGCACAACGATATGCATTCATGAGTTTTGTGTTTGGTAATAAAAATCATTCTAATATTGAGAAAATATAAAAAATTTTATAATCGAAAGGGCATTATAGAAAAATAGTGGTATATAAACCGTAGAAAATCATCAACTAACCATCAGTCTCAGTTTCCTCAAATTGTGGAAAGCATCTCTTCTTCTCACTAAATTCATCATGAAACAGGTGAGAGGAAAAAATGTCTACTTTTTGACAAGTTATTTTATAATTACAATTTAAAAATAATAATTACTATTATTATTTAAACAATTTTTTTTTCTTTCAATTTCAAAGAAATGTTCTAAACAAAAATTACAATTAAGAATTTCTTTAAAAATGTCGAAAAAGGGTGAAAAATATAAAAAATTTTACTTGCAGTTCGTAGTTCTCGCTGCCCTTGTGGTCGTTGCTTGCGCTGGACGTCTTCCACACAACTCTAATCATCGTGGTGCCGCAAGCCGACGTGTGGACAACTCCTACTTGGCTCCAGCTGCAGAATCCCGAGTTGATAACTCATATTTGGCGCCTGCTGCTGAGTCACGACGAGTTGACAATTCATATTTAGCTCCAGTTGCCGAATCACGTGTGGAAAGCACATTCGTTGCTCCAGCTGAGAGTGAAATTGTCCTCGTTAAGGAGAAGTTACACGAGAACAACGGTTTGGAGGGTTACCAATATAGCTACGAACTTTCTGATGGACAAAAGAAAGAGGAAACCGCTGAATTGATCAACGCCGGAAGTGAGGAGGAAGCCATTGCTGTCCGCGGAAGCTACCAATGGGTTGACCCAGCAACTGGCCAGGAATACAAAGTCACCTATGTCGCTGATGAAAATGGCTTCCGCGCCGAGGGAGCTCATCTTCCACGTGCCTAATTTTATGTCAACAAAAAAGAAAAAAATAGATACGAACAATAAAAAATGCAACTTTTTAAATTAATACATTTCTTTTTGGTTCTTTCACACCTTTTTCCTATTTGCTATTAATGAACCTGTTAATGCTAGAACAGAAAAAAATATAGAAAAACTAATAAATTGCATATAAAACACTTTATTAAAATTTATTTATTTAATAAGTAAACAGGCATAAAAACCTTTTTTTTAAATACAACATATATACATTGACCATAAGAATTAATAATTATTTAATAACAACTCTCGCAGATTAGATGTAAATTTATTTCTTGGGGTCTCAAATAAATCAATGTTTGTTGACAATGAATTAGCCTCTCCAGTAACTCTACTTATGAGAGAATTAGATCCATAATTGCTTCTATGCGCGAATACATAAAAAAGTGAAGCATTTCTAAGTCGCTTTGTAGGCACAAAAAAACATAAACGTGACAGTAACTCTGGACATACAATTGACCCATGTATAAGTCATAGACAAAATGAATAAATAATTTGTTGACTTAATTTGTTTATTACAATTTTGTTAATAAAGTAAATCGTAGATATGTAGGCAGTTCAGTACAGAATTGTGTCGAATACATATAGTGTAGTATTCCCTAATGTAGTTTTTCAGTGTAAGATGACAGAGATGGCACATGTGATATCTCCTACTGTGGTATATTCCATCGAGTTTATGTTCAAAATTTACTTTACTCCTCCCGCCTTTCTTGTAACACATGTTTAAAAAAGAAATAAAAAAACAAAAGGTCTGCCTATATGGGGTCAATTTTCCCATATGATTCCTTATGATTTCAGGTCTCTCTAGTTCAATGGTTGCGTTGCTCCAATCAGAAAGTGTGCCATGAATTTTTTAATCGCAATTCTTGGTTTAAGACTTTGGTGACATTTCCCAAAGAATTATTTCCATAAAATTAAAAAAATACAAAACTTTTATCCAGTTTGGTTAATTGTACCTCATTTTTGGGTAGAGCATTATCTTGATGGGCTATCTCCTGTGGGTCCAGTATGGATCGGATGCTGTTGGTCCATTTAAAAAGTGCCTCATACATATTTTTTGTAGGAAACTCCCTCAACATTTCATGAACCTTGCATTAAAATATTTTACAACTTTCAATGGAATATGCAGGAAACATTTAGGAAATATAATGTGCTATGTGGGTAATTTTTAAAAAATGTCGTTGTGTGTGTACATTTTTATAAATATACCTCAAATATTATAAGACCTAAAAAGATAATTTTTTTAAATGTAGGTCTCACAGGCGGACATTAATAATGAGAGTACTTTGAGCCATATTAATAAAGATTAAAAATTACACTGCCAAGCAAATTTCAAATTTTTTTCTGCAAATAACACGGGACATAGTGTTTCCGAATGTATTTTTTGTGCTGAACACGAATCCGGGGTCGAAAACTTCCTATCACGTCACATTTTCGAGAAAATAGGGGTTGAAATCCCACAAAACAGGGTTTTTGGAGATTTTTGAAAAATTATACAGCGAAAACCTGACGTGGTACAAACTTTGCTGATATCAGAAATTAAAGGTTGGTTCACGCCCTTTCAAACGAGCCCTATTCGAAATTGATCGCACTCACCCTTAGAGCAGGGGGTGTGTTTTTGTCTAGGGGTGCACGAAAAAAATGTACACATAACATAAAAATTCAAAATGGGTAACAATTCAATAAATCATGATAGTTAAGGGATTTTCGAGGTCGTTGATTACGAATCTGTAGTCCGATTTCAAAAATTTAAAATGGCGGATCCAATATGGCGGATGTCAAAATAAAAATTTAAAACAATTCACTTGAAAATGGTCACTCGGGGGTTTTTGGGGTCGCTGATAACGAATCTGAAGTCAGATTTCAAAAATTCAAAATGATTTATTGAATTGTTATCCATTTTGAATTTTTATGTTATGTTTACATTTTTTTTGTGAACCCCTAGAAAAAAACACACCTCCTGCTCTAAGGGTGAGTGCGATCAATTTCGAATAGGGCTCGTTTGAAAGGGCGTGAACCAACATTTAATTTCTAATATCAGCAAAGTTTGTACCACGTCAGGTTTTCGCTGTATAATTTTTCAAAAATGGCCAAAAACCCTGTTTTGTGGGGGGTTTCAACCCCTATTTCCTCGAAAACGTGACGTGATGGGAAGTTTTCGACCCCGGATTCGTGTTCAGCACAAAAAATCCGTTTGGAAACAATATGTTCCATGTTATTCGCAAAATCGATGCAGGGCAGTGTTATGTTTTGCATTCAAAAATTTTGTTAAAATCGTTTTTTGCCCATAACTTTAAAAAATGTATACATATTGACACCTACAGATATTTTTCTTTTTGGCATTGTAGAGTTTTTCAAGACGCATCTTTTGATCCTTCAGTGAACATTATATAATGTTACTTTACCCATAGAGTTATGAAAATTTTAAAATTGAAAAATTTTGAAAAACCAGAACTTATTGCATTGTTTGTTAAAAAAAACTTTGTTACTTTAAAATTACCACAATCAACTTAGATAATATTTAAAAACAAATAAATCTACCTATTCTTGAACCTTTTGTTATAAAATATTCCTGTTATTGATGTTAAAAATTTATCTCTGCCAATGCCGAGTATAACTACAACTTATATACTAAATAAGTTATCATAAATTGTGCGTAATATTCATCTATTTTTTCTCACTTCGTTAAATAATGTTTACATCAAAAAAAAATTAGGAACTAAATTTTAATGTCACACATTAATTATAATTGAAACAAATTAAAATTTTTTTTTTAAATCCATAATCAATTGACAACCTTTTTTTTGTTGCTCATCCTTTACATTTTATTACATAATAGCATACTATATTATTATAACATGAATAAATAATGAAAACTATTTTACCATTTTATGGGAAATTTCTTAATCTTTCGTTATTCAAAAAAAAAAAAAAAAATGAATATGAAAAAGATATCCCGCATATAATCGGAAATAGTGGATTTGAAATTTTTAATGAGCGCGCGTTATGTATGAATTTTGATGTTTAGTAATCAAAGCCTGCTATTCACGTGATATATATATATATATATCTTATTATTTAATTATCCATTCTATTGGCTAAATTTGAAAATTAATAATCGAAAGGGCATTATAGAAAAATAGTGGTATATAAGCCGTGGAACATCTTCAACTAACCATCAGTTTTAGTTTCCTCAAATTGTGAAAAGCATCTCTTCTTCTCACTAAATTCATCATGAAACAGGTGAGAGAAAAAAATGTCTACTTTTTGACAAGTTATTTTATAATTACAATTTAAAAATAATAATTACTATTATTATTTAAACAATTTTTTTTTCTTTCAATTTTGCTTTCAAAGTTCTAAACAAAAATTACAATTAAGTATTTTGAAATTAAATAAAAAAAATATTTCATCATTTCATTATTATAACACTAAACTTATAAGTAAAAATTTTTTAATCAAATTGTTCATATTTTTGTATTTGTAAAAATATAAAGTCTACGTTTCGAATTTGTTAAATTAACTATACTTTTTAGCAAAACTTTACAACAATACTCAAAATTTGAATTAGCAAAAAGGAAACAGTTTGACAAAATTGAATTTCACAATTCGCTGTCAGTAAAATATTTTTTAAATTTGCGATAAAAATAAAAATTAGTGAATACAAAAATGGGGAAAGACCCTTTCACAAATCGCTGAGATTTGTGGCGGGAACTTTGAATTTTTAAACCGACTTTTCGCAAAAATTCTTTATAGACGAAAAACATATTTTCCGTTGACATCAGAATTTCTTTAAAAATGTCGAAAAGGGGTGAAAAATAAAAAAATTTTATTTACAGTTCGTAGTTCTCGCTGCCCTTGTGGTCGTTACTTGCGCTGGACGTCTTCCACACAATTCTAATCATCGTGGTGCCGCAAGCCGACGTGTGGACAACTCCTACTTGGCTCCAGTTGCAGAATCCCGAGTTGATAACTCATATTTGGCTCCAGCTGCAGAATCCCGAGTTGATAACTCATATTTGGCGCCTGCTGCTGAGTCACGACGAGTTGACAATTCATATTTAGCTCCAGTTGCCGAATCACGTGTGGAAAGCACATTCGTTGCTCCAGCCGAGAGTGAAATTGTCCTCGTTAAGGAGAAGTTACACGAGAACAACGGTTTGGAGGGTTACCAATATAGCTACGAACTTTCTGATGGACAAAAGAAAGAGGAAACCGCTGAATTGATCAACGCCGGAAGTGAGGAGGAAGCCATTGCTGTCCGCGGAAGCTACCAATGGGTTGACCCAGCAACTGGCCAGGAATACAAAGTCACCTATGTCGCTGATGAAAATGGCTTCCGCGCCGAGGGAGATCATCTTCCACGTGCCTAATTTTATGTCAACAAAAAGAAAAAAAATAGATACGAACAATAAAAAATGCCACTTTTTAAATTAATACACATCTTTTGTTATTATTTGCATTTTCTTTCTATTTTTGCTAGTTTGATTTGCTCTCTTAATTTGAAGCAGTGAAATTTCACTGGTGAAATAGCTAGAAGTCGGTTACTGAATCATTTAGTGAAATTTTCACTGAAAATCAGTCATATATCACTGATTTTCAGTGAAAAATTTTACTAAATGAATCAGTCAATCTGTTTTACCCATTACCGATAATACAGATTGACTGATTCATTTAGTGAAATTTTCACTGGAAATCAGTGATATATGACTGATTTTCAGTGAAAATTTCACTAAATGATTCAGTAACCGACTTCTAGCTATTTCACCAGTGAAATTTCACTGATTCGCAAATTAAGAGAGAGATAGTTTTATTCTATATTCAAGTTAATGATTAGGTTAATTTAAGAGACTTACAATTTTTAAGTTATAGGCGTTGTTCTCATTCTTTTTATTTCATGTCATCATGATGTATCAAATAACTTGCCTTCCCTCTGTCGATGCATTCACATGTATAGCAGGGTTGAAATGCTATTAATGTTAAGGCCAGGTCCAAGTGAGCCAGCGCCATCTACATTGCAACTAAAATTTTGGAAAATTTTCAACAGCCTTTTCTTGAAAACAAGATGGTAAAATGCTTTTTCCTTTATGGATAATTGATTATTGGCAAGATATACACCAGCTAAAACTTTTTTTGAGTTAAAATAATAAAAAAAATTTCATGTCAATAAATTAAATATGAGCGCACTTTTTTCACAAAAACTGTAACAGTACTTTCTCAGAAATTACAATCAAAAATGCAATTTTCATTTGGAAAATTAATAAACGCTAAAAAATACACGACTTAAGATTTACCAATCACGAAAATAAGAAAAAAAAATTTTATTAAATATTTAACATATTGATACTGCTTTACTGATTGTGACAGCCCTTTGGTAGATTATGTATTTCAGGTGGTTAGCAACAGCGCCAATCTCCTCCTTTCGGCAAAACTGCGAAACGTCTGGTGACATATATAACCTGCCAAACGGCTGTCATAATGAGTAAAATATGTTATGTTAAAATACTTTTTTTTTGTTATTTTCGTGATTGGTAAATCTTAGGTCGTGTATTTTTTAGCGTTTATTAATTTTCCAAATGGAAATTGCATTTTTGATTGTAATTTCTGAGAAAGTACTGTTACAGTTTTTGTGAAAAAAGTGCGCTCATATTTAATTTATTGACATGAAATTTTTTTTATTATTTTAACTCAAAAAAAGTTTTAGCTGGTGTATATCTTGCCAATAATCAATTATCCATAAAGGAAAAAGCATTTTACCTTCTTGTTTTCAAGAAAAGGCTGTTGAAAATTTTCCAAAATTTTAGTTTTAATGTAGATGGCGCTGCCTCACTTGGACCTGGCCTTAAGTTAAAAATTTGAAGTTGGTATAATAAAGACAACACAGAAAATTAAAAGGCATTAAAATAAGCTGCAACGCTTCTTATTTTAATCCAATTTTGCTTATTTTAATCCATTTTGGTATTAAAATAAGCAAAATTGGATTAAAATAATAAGCGTTGCAGCTTATTTTAATACCTTATAATTTTCTGTGAAAGAAACCTCCGAAGAGTGAAATTTACCTTGTTCACACTTCAGAGGTTCCTCTATATGGGCACTAAATATAATATTTTTTCAGTTATTAAACAATAAAAGAAAAGAAAAATAAATAAAATGAAACGTAATTAATAAATATATATATTTTATAATTGAATTGTAATTTAATAAAAAAAAAAAGTTGAAATAAAAATGAAAAAAATATCGAATGATTGATGGAAAATGAGAATTAGAAAAAATGTGAAATAGATATTAATTGGTGTGATCAAATTATTCAAATGATACCTTCTGCATGTCACTAATGACATTATCGGCGATGACCTATGATTTTATATATATATAAATATACATATATATATGTATTTTACACTTTCTCCTTGAAAACGAGACACGAGAAAGACAGATTCAAATTACTTTTTCAATGGGGGTTTTTCGTTCTCTCTTTCTGTTGTGTTGGCCTCGAAAATGCGAAAAATCTCTCGAAAAGAACCAATCGAATATCTCGATCTCTTTTTAGAAGACGAGTCGAATAAACGACATTAATGGAGGGAATTCTGGGAAACGAATCTCGTTAGGTAAATTCTTATGCAACTGGATGACACTCTCGCTTTCATATTATATACAGCTGCTAGATATCCGATCATCAAGGTTTCAATCTCTTTTTTTTTTTTTTTTTTATTTTTTTTCCTTCATCATTCTCTAGGTATCGTACTTTTTTGAGATCTAAATGTAAAATGTTTTAAAACGAACTAAAAAAATTGTTTCTTCCTTTCAAAAAAAATTTTAAATAAATTTAATAAAAAATTATTTTTATTATTAAATTTTGTCGAAACGGAAACGTATGTTAAACACACATGAAAAGGGGAAGACCAATTGTCTAGTTTTTTTTGTAACTTGTTGTTGATTTTTTGTTTTATCTTAAAATCTTAATAAAATATATGTATTTGATTAAAATTAAAATTTTTCAAGAAAGAAATTTCACATGGTTCATGGAGCATGTGAAGGAAGAATAACAGGTTCCCTAATATCTGGATTCCGATCATTCGATGATGAAAGAGAAGATGGGCTTGGGCTTCTTTCGTAACAACATTTTAATTCGTCTGAAAACTACATTATTCCAGATATTGCATCACATTTTAAATAAAGAAACCAATATTTTTTCACGCTCATTTTTTTCCCATATATATCACATTGACTGTATATTAATAAAAAATATAATATAGGGTATACATTTTATTTTTAGTGTTATATTAATTTTAATATAAAATTGTCAATATGGATAAACAAAAAAAAATATATTTTTTAAAAAATTTCTATTGATTTAAAAAAAGAATTTTGAATTAAAATTAAATAAAAAAAAATTTTCTTGTTTTCCTTGATAGGAATCTTTGAAATGAAGATGCGATAATGATAGTTTAATATATTATAATTTTAATACCCTTGTGTTAATGATATAATCTATTAACAAGGTTAAGAGATCCAGGAAATGCTAATCATAACTGCATTTATATTCAGAGCTTCTTTTTATTTTTTTTTAGAAATTAGGTCCATTTTCTAATTTATGGCCTTTCCTTTCCTCTCCTTTGATTTCGGTGACATTATATTTTTTATTATATAATATCGTTATAAACTGATATAATCCATTTTATACATATTATAGAATTAAATTATATTAATATACCTGTTATTATATTATCATTATTTTAGTCACTTATAATTAAATAATTAGTTGATTTATGTTAATTCATTAATAACACACAAACAACATAATAATATAAACAGACGGAGAAGTATTTCTGTTCAATTAATTATAAAAATGTTAGAATTAATCTATCACTTTTTTTCCCTATTAAAGATTTATTTCTTGCAATAGGCGTAACCAATTAACATTTAAGTGCGCGATAATAAGAAATTATTATTTACATATATATGTGTATATCTATTCTGATTCTGATTTGTTAATAAATTTGCAAACCGTTTATTTAAAAAAAAATATTTATTTTTTAAAATATAATTTATTATTTAAAAAAAATACAATACAATACAATATATATATATTGTTAATTAATTTATGTGTATATAAAATGTGCAAAAAAGAAAATTGCAATTATAGCAATAAATAATAGTGTAAAATATTTTGTAAAATTCTTAGGATTTATAATCGATAACCTTCGACAATAAGAGGAATTACAGCGGAAGTGAATTTTTCTTTTCAAGAAATCAATTATTTATGTCTTTGTTAACCGTGATTAAGCCCAAATGGATATATCAATTATTTTAATACTGAAATTTTTTTTTAATTCTATCTTGTATATACGATTAAAAATAAAAAAAATTGTCCTCTTTTAGAAATTTAATTATTAATAATTATTACCTAATATTTTTTTCTAATGAACCATTTATTTATAACAAAAGACAACAAATTAAAAAAATTTTTGTAATATTAAAAAAAAATATTAAACATTTTTTTTTCACACAAAGAGAAAAAATGGAGAAAGGAGAAAACATTAATATTTCCATTTAAAATTCTATATTTCGAACTATATACATAGGATTTTCAAATGTGACCTTTAAATTTTGTAAATGAATGACCTTTTTATAAATTTTATTATCAAATATATATGGCTCATCACTTTTTTTATTGTATTAAAAAATTATATATTAAATTTCATGAATATGTTTAAACATAAAATTTATTTCCGAATATTTTGACTATATTTCTGTAATTTTTTATTTATTTAATTAATATTATACTAATTTAAACTTCATTAAAATTCAATTTTTTAAAAGTTTTTTTTTTGCATATGTATTTATATTAATTAACAAAAGGGTCAGAATTTCTCAAACGAATCACCTAAAATTCAGAAATTTTTGTTTTTAATCAAAAATCATTTCTTTTGACTCCTTACGGTAAAAATAAGTCCCTGAAATTTTTAGGTCAAAAAAAAAATTTTTTGTTAAAGTTATATAAACAATTGAAATTTTTTACAGTCTTATTTTAAAAAAAAATTTTTCTCGAGTTCCTGTTCACCAATTAAAAAAAAAAGGGTTTTTCTCGTCTTAAAATGTAGTTTCTAAATACAATTTTTATTTGGAAAAAATTTCATATTTAATAGATTTTTATATTATTTATTTATAAAATGTTATTAAAATAATAGTGTTCTTGACGTCCTATAGAAAATTAAAATTTTTTTTTTGAATTCCCCACACAATTTTGATGTAAGAAACCGTTGAGAAAAAAAAATGAGACTAATAAAAAATTTCTGACTTTTAGATGATCCGTTTGAGAAATTCTGACTCAAAATTAATATTTTTTAATATTTTATTAATATTTTTCATATATGAAAACTTAAAAAGTGAATGCAATAATGAATTAAATTTTATCTTGTCCTATATTTTATTTAGAATCTCTCAATTTTTATCAGAAAAGAAAATATAATAAATTTATTCTAAAGAAATTTTAATTTATAAAAATTTATAAAATATAATTAAATAAATAGGTATTATAAATAATAATTGGTTCCCAATAATATAATAATTATAATAATAATAACCCTAGAAATATGAATTTTCTCACCCTCTAAAGGGTGAGAACTTGACTTTGAAACCCCAATTTGAAACTTGTGTAAAAAGGTTTCTATTTGACATAAACCTAATTATATATAGTGATTTTTATTGGTTTTTTAGTAAGGAAAACAATAGTTTCATTGATTTTCTGATAAAATAAAAAAAAGTTGAAAAAAAACTTGCAAAAACGAAAAATTTTCCAAATTTGTCGAAATTTGAATTTTTCTGGGGTATATAGACACCCCAGTTATTCCTTCTATAGGGATAAATAATAAAAATAAAATATACTCGTATAAAGTAATTTTATAAAAAATGTATTATTGTTTATAAATAATTTTTATTAATTATTTAGAAAAATAAAAGTTTTGCATTTTTTTATTTAATTAAAAAAGGGGTCTTTGCTATTGTTATTATTTATACGTATATGAAATAAGTGTAAATGTGACTTATATATATATATATATATAGAAGGTCGAACTACGATGAGAATATTATTATATATGATATTATTGTGTATGTGAGCCTGAAGAAGACTCGTAAATCTTAAAAAGGTGAAAGGTGAGAAATGAGAAAGAATAAACCAAAGATATTGGTCAGTGAAATTTTTTTTTTTTTTTCATTTCATTTTTTTATTTTTTGGCAGTAGGGATTGAGAAGTGAGGACCGGACTATAAAATAAGGTTCGATTCGTACTCGACACATCAGTCACTCTTCTTCTTTTCTCCACAAAAGAGAATCCACCAAATTTCGCGCACAAAATGAAAATGGTATGTAATTTTTTTTTTGGGGTGGAATTCCCTCGAAAGAAAAAAAGTGAAAAAAAAAGTTTCTAATTTTGTGTGTTAAAAAAAAATTTATTTATTATTTTCTTTAATTAATATATAGTGACTTGCAAGCAGTGTATAAAATAAAATTATATTTTTTGCCCGCAGTGTTCATTGAAAAAAAGTGAAATTTCTTTTTAAAAATTTGTTTGCAAAAAAAAGTGACTGTGTATACATTTACAAAAGGATTTTATTTAGAAAATATATATGAACAAAATATTAATAAGAGATCATCCATAAACTTCGTAGCCCATTTTTTTGAAACCCCCCCCCCCCCCTAAGTAGCACACTTTTCCATATTTTAACTTTTTTCCTCATATGTTGTAGCAAATAGCTTGACCCCTCCTCCCCTTGAAGAGCTAAGTGGTTTATGGATGAAACCTAAGTAAAATAAAACTCTTATATTCAAAAATTTATCAGAAAAAATTATTAAACATATTTTTTTTTTTTATTAATTAACAATATTTATTTATTTAATTTATTATTTTAATAATTACAATATATATTTTTTAAAAATGAACATTTAAATTTTCACAATAGAAGAGTAAAAAATTATTTATTTAATTTTTGATTTATTTAAAAATTTATTTTTTAAAATTATTCTTTGTTGTTTCGATTTGAAGTTTTTTTAAGGCCAGGTCCAAGTGAGGCAGCGCCATCTACATTGAAACTAAAATTTTGGAAAATTTTCAACAGCCTTTTCTTGAAAACAAGAAGGTAAAATGCTTTTTCCTTTATGGATAATTGATTATTGGCAAGATATACACCAGCTAAAACTTTTTTTGAGTTAAAATAATAAAAAAAATTTCATGTCAATAAATTAAATATGAGCGCACTTTTTTCACAAAAACTGTAACAGTACTTTCTCAGAAATTACAATCAAAAATGCAATTTCCATTTGGAAAATTAATAAACGCTAAAAAATACACGACCTAAGATTTACCAATCACGAAAATAAGAAAAAAAATTTTTATTAAATATTTAACATATTGATACTGCTTTACTGATTGTGACAGCCCTTTGGTAGATTATGTATTTCAGGTGGTTAGCAACAGCGCCAATCTCCTCCTTTCGGCAAAACTGCGAAACGTCTGGTGACATATATAACCTGCCAAACGGCTGTCATAATGAGTAAAATATGTTATGTTAAAATACTTTTTTTTTGTTATTTTCGTGATTGGTAAATCTTAGGTCGTGTATTTTTTAGCGTTTATTAATTTTCCAAATGGAAATTGCATTTTTGATTGTAATTTCTGAGAAAGTACTGTTACAGTTTTTGTGAAAAAAGTGCGCTCATATTTAATTTATTGACATGAAATTTTTTTTATTATTTTAACTCAAAAAAAGTTTTAGCTGGTGTATATCTTGCCAATAATCAATTATCCATAAAGGAAAAAGCATTTTACCTTCTTGTTTTCAAGAAAAGGCTGTTGAAAATTTTCCAAAATTTTAGTTTCAATGTAGATGGCGCTGCCTCACTTGGACCTGGCCTTAAACTGTGTACGCAATGGGCACCTTATGTTAAACTGTGTTATGTTAACGTAAAACCAACGTATTGTGGACATAGCCTTAAATAAAGGTGCTTTCACACATAAATGAATAAAGCTATAGTAACTATTTCTAAATTTATCTAAATGTTTCTCTCTCTCTCCCTCCCGCCCTTTTCTCCAAAAAATTGCTATTCTAATAAAAAAAAAATTAATATTAAAATTTCAGATTTTTGTCTTTGTCGCCATTTTGGCTTTTGCTGCTGCAGCGCCACAAGGCCAACGTCAAGAACAAGATGTTGTTGTTGTAAAAGAACTTCTACACAATAACATTGGAGTTGAAGGCTATCAGTACAATTATGAGCTTTCAGATGGACAACAAAGAGAAGAATCTGCGGAATTAAGAAATGCTGGAACTGAGAATGAAGCTCTTGTTGTGAGAGGAAGTTTCTCATGGGTCGATGCTAATGGTCAATTACACAGAATCGATTACACTGCTGATGAAAATGGATTCCATCCAATTGGCCAAGATATTCCCGTTTAAATTGCTCCTTCATTTTTGTGATTATCTTAATTAAAAAAAAAAAATAAAAAATTTTCTATTTTCATAAAAACAATGTTTTTTTTTATTTTTAAATTCATCTGGAAATAATAATTATAATATGGCGCACTCACACCTTTTTGGCTGCCTGTCTGCCTGCACCATGGCAACGCACAAGTGTGAGTGAGACAGAAAATTTGAATATTCAAATTTTTAAATTTTCTGTCTCACTCGCTCTCATGCGTTGCCATGGTAACCTGCAGGCAGCCAAAAAAGTGTGAGTGGGTGTTTTCGACGTCGACGCTCTGAGTGTTCTGAAAGTGTTAAGTGGTTCTCAACCAATATTAAAAATTATGATTAGCAATAACTTATTATGATTGGCTAAAGCATGCTAAAAGTGACATGTTTGTGATACGGGCTGCAGTTTTAGGTTTATGTGCACAAAAAAGGGTGTGTTATTTGCATGCTTTATTTGAAATTGGATGCGTTCGGGCTGTGCTCGTGCTCTGGTTTCTCAATCTTGTTTAATAAACCGAGCGTGTTTTCTGAGTGCGGAAGTAAATAACGGAAAATTTTCAAAAATGGCAAATTTAAACCCTGAAGTCAATTACGTTAACGCTATAGGAATTGTACAAAATCTTGTTAAAATATAAATAAAATAAATAAAATAAAAATATAAATATAAATATTACATTAAAATTAATACTTACTCGTATCAACGTTCGTTACGTCGCATGAAATACGACCATTATTCTTGAATAATGTTTTATTGTTCTTTAAAACTAAATCATTTAAAATTATTCTTTCCTCCATGATGCAACAGCGTGGTCTTCACCGGTCTTGAAAGCGTAATGAGAAGATTGCATTGGATTAGGTTAGGTTAAGGCGCTTGTATACCTCACCCATCCCGAGTATACTTGCGTCGTGTATCATTGGAGTAAAAGAGACGGAAATATCTTTTTGTCTCTTTTACTCCAATGGTACACGACAGAAGTATACTCGGGATCGGTGAGGTATACAAGCGCCTTTAAATACACTAAAATAATAAAATGTGGTTGAGAACCTTTTCGAGCTCTCAGAGCGCTCAGAGTGTCAACGTCGAAAACACCCAGTGCGCCTTAAGGGGGGAACACCAGTTGTAACTCAAAAAATAATGCTTTTTTCAAGAATATTTTCCAAAAGAACAATGAATCTTTTTAAAGAATACTATTTATTAGTTAAAAGTACATGTAAAAAGCTGTAATTTAAAAGAAAAAAAAAATTTTTTTAACAAAAACTTTTGGAGATATGAGCCATTGAAGTGGCGTCTTAAGAAAAAAGGCGAATTGCGGTGACCAGCATTCTGCAAGTATACTTCGTCTGAAATACAAAAATGAAATTGATTTACATTTATTATAAGATTATCTAGTTCGTGATCGAAGGATTTAAAAAAAAAAAAAATTTGACAAAATGGCGACCTGTCAAAGTCAAAAGTATGATTTTCGTTAAAAAAATACGGTCGATTTTCAGCTATATAAAAAAAAGTTTTGCATAAAAAAAAAATCCTTCGATCACGAACTAGACTTATATGTGTAAATGAAGCACACTAAATTTTAAATAAATCGGTTTAATGGTATTCGAGTAATCGTGGTCACCGACTTGGAAAATGTCATTTTGAGAAAAACGCATTCAAAGTTTCAACTTACTTTTTTTTGTTCAGAAGAAATTTTGTTTCCAAGTAACAAAGAGTCATCGATTCCTGGACCATATAATAACTCTTCCGCAGTGGTTGCCGTTTCTAAATCATAGGAAAAGGCCATCTGTCGTTAGGGTCAGTTATGGCTGGCCACCTTGTATGAAGCCACGGGACGCGCCGATGCAGTGTTCTGTATATCTCATTTATTTTTCACTGGATCAACTTTGAAATTTACAGACACATTTCTAAATATGTATACTTTAAGAAAATGCACAAAAAAAAATTGATTTTTCGAAAGTTACAACTGGTGTTCCCCCCTTAAGAAAGATATCAAAATTCAAATTTCCTGCGGTAGTGTGAACCTAACTTTAAAAATTAAAATTCTATTCTAAAGTTGTATTCACACGTACCAGGGTTGGGAAGCTAAAAATATAACTACAGTGTAAATTACTATTGGTGAATAAAGGGCAGATCAAAGTCGATGCGATTTTTCCATTGAAGTTCTATATAAAAATTGCTTCGACTTTGACCTGCCCTTAAAGGTCTATTTGAATTATATATTTTTAATAATATATTATTAATTATTAATATATTTATCCGAATATTTAAAATTTCATATATAAATTTTACGTGGAATCACCCATATATTGAATTTAAAATTAATTAAATTTCTGTTATAATGAAATAGTAATAAAAAAAAATCAAATTGTATATATAATAATAATGATGCTTAATTACATAAAAAAATAGATAATTATTAATTAAATATAATAAGTTTTAAAAAAAAGTTATATATATATATATGAAACAATTTTTTAGAAAAATTTGAAGATAAAACAAAAACAACTTCAGACTTCAATTGCATCAAATTATTATTTTTCTTCCTGTCAATTACAATTTACGCTTTATCAGGTTATATTTTATTATTAATAATAATTAACATTTATTGTTAATAAATTATTATTATTAAGAAAAATTTATTTATTATTAGATAACTCAATTGAAAAAAATTATTTAACGCTCTATCGTCAAAAACAAATTTTGGAATCAAGAATTTAAATTGAATTGAAGTGGAGTTGGTAAAGGGAGGAAAAATAGACGAAAAATCTGGAACTTTTACCAGACAGGTTTTTAAAAAAAAATAAATATTTTTTTTGATAAAAATGAAGCTTGGAAAGTCAGTAAATAAGATTGAATTCATTGTAAAATGAAAGGTATTAATTTAATACCGACTTTAGTAGATTGTCATTTTGGTTCTATTTTGATACCTAAAATCGGTACTGTTTTAGTACTTTCTTTTTACCTGCAGTCGGTAATGTAAATTTACTAATCTTTGTTTTGCCGACTGACAGTAAATAGTCTAAAAATTTTTGTTATCTGTATAGCTAATTATAAAAAATTTTCCTAAATTCCAATTTCCAATTTTCCAAAAAAAGACAAAAAGCCATGCGAGTTCGGAAAAAATTACTCGACATCAACAAATCAAGAGAATTTCGGCAACGAAAAATTTTGTTTTCGATTTTGAAAATCCTCTAAATTTGATGAGTGTCGTCAAGAAAAATTCAAATTCACAAGTCTCGTCAAAAATCGTTAGTATGTAATTAATTTTTTTTTTATATATTTAAAATTTTTTCTATATCTTTAAAAAAAAATTTATGAAATTTAAACAAAAATACAACTTGTAATGAAAGAAAAAACTATTAATACAGATACAAAGGGGAAGGAAAAAATAATATCATTATCAACTTTTCCTCACGTAATTTCTGCTAATTTCAATCATAGTAATAAAGAAAAGAAACATTTTAATTATCGTTCACCTAACAATGGATTACCATCAATATCAATACCTCAACATTATTGTCAATTAAATTCGTCAAAAAAATTCCAATTAAATTTAAAAAATAAAAACACTGGTAATTTTTAAATTTAGCGCGCAAAATTCTACTTTACCGACAGTGTTTAGAGTGAAAACTCACATTAAATTTTTTTTTTTTATTTTTTCTATAGATGAAAGCAATTTAAAATTTTCATCACCAACAATCAATGACAATTCAAATTGGCAAAAACTACGTCAAAGAAATTTAAATAAAATTAATAACGAAAAAAATATGGAAATAAAAGAAATATGCAAAAATTTCGATCAATTTAAATTGCATGAAAATTTCAATGAATATAAAATTAATAATAAAAAAAATCATATACAATCGCTAATTAAGAAAAATTCAAAAACCAACATACAAACATATCGCATATTAAAAATTGCTGAAAATAAAGGGAAGAATATTAATTTAAAAATAAATAACAACTCTTCAAATATCGGGGAATATTTTGCTAAATTTGGTCAAAATATCGATCAATTAAAAAATGAATCGAACCAAGAAATATCATCATCAATAAATAAAGAAAAAATTAATGATTTATTTAAAGAAATTAATATTTTGGAAATTGGATTTGATTTACCAGTGAAAAAATATTCTCAAATTTCAATGAAAAAAAAATCCCTAGATCAGGAATCACAATCGTCAAATCGTTTGAGTTTTAAGGAGAAAGAAAAAATTTTGAAAAAACTCATAACTAGTGATTGTGAATATAAAGAAGAAAATAATGATACAGTTGAAAATGAAGTTAATAACATTCAACGAGATAATTCTACTTCGAATATGTTGAAGAGAATTTTAAAATCTGATTATTTAAAACATCAATTAAATTTGTGAGTTTCTTTTTTGTTCTATAAATATTTTTTTTTGTTAGAGTAACTTTTTTCTTCATTAGTTGTCATTCTATGTAATGTCGATAAAGTAGATAAAATTTATGCGCCAAATTAAAAAAATCTATTCTTAATTTTTTAATTTACTTTACCAACAATAAGATTGTTAAATTAAAAAAAATTTAATTCTGCACTATAAACATATTTTGTAAAATTTTCAAATTTTTATTTCAATTTTATTTTTTTTATTCAATTTTTTTATGTAATATCGGTAAGGTAGATAAGACTTTTCAAAAAATACGCGCGAAATTTGAATTACTCGTAGGTTTAAAAAAATTAATAAAAAGGCAATAACTGCTTTTTAGAAAATTAATAAATTTATTATGAATTATAATTTTTTTGTTTTATTAACATTAATTTTCACAAGTAAGAATATAATTTTCTTTTACTAATTTATATAATTATCAAAATTCTTTTTTAGTAAAAGAAAAAAGTAACACTTTAGTTTATAATAAAATGCTCTTCATATCTGACGGTAATAAAAAACTAAAAATATTATTATCACAAGGATTCGTATGGCAGATAATTAAGCATCACATTTTTTTTTTTTTATAAATTTGTAGTAAATATAACAAAAAAAGTAGTTTATACTTTTCACATTTTAAGGAAGGAGATTTTCCTATTATCTTATTCCTATAAAATATTTATTGCCTTTTGAATAAATTTTGTTATTTTAGGAGATAAAAAAAATCATTAAATTTCTTTTTCTTTGAAAAAAAAATTTTTTTACCTTAAAAAAAAAAAACTGAAAATAGTAAAATTATTTTGTGTATAGTTTTAGAAAAACATTTTTTTTGAAAATCTTTTTTTAACAAATTTTTTCATAGTGATGAAAATAAAATTTATTTTTTTTTTTAAAGAAAGCAATAACTTTCTAAACAAAAAATTTTGTTGTTGTTATTTTCTTATTTTTTTCTAAATTTGAAAAAATTCAAGATTTCTTTGTATTTCAAAATCATTTAAATAATTTTGATTTGGAAACAATCCATCGAATAGACGACCACCACATGTATTGGGGCCATTTTTAATTTTTGAATAATGATCATATGGATTTTTTGATGTAATTAATTTGCCGCATAACCAGCAAAATATTTTTTTACAATAACTACATGTCATTTTATTGCAGCCATCAATTCTTGTTGTCTGCGTTAAACAATTGGGACAAATTTTCGAATGTTCCTGAAAAATAAAAAATAAATAAAAAAAAAAACTTTTTCTTTTAAAATAACAAATTGTTATTTATAGAAAGAAAAAGAAAATAATCTGAAATTAAAAAAAAAAATTATTACCTTTAAATAATTATTTGTTAAAGTTTCTTCAACAATAAGTTTAATTTGTCTTTTTCCATAACGTAATTCTAATAATTTTTTCTCTTTTTCCGACGCATTTTGATAGTCGGCAATTAATTTTTCTTTTTCCTTGTTTAACATCTCACATGGTGAAACACCATGATAAACCTTGAGCATTTATAAAAATAAAAAAAAAAGTATAAAAAATCTAATAACTTTAATAAGATAATAAATGATAATCAAATGCTAATAAATAGAGAATATAAAATACTTAATACAATTTTTTCAGAACAAAACAAATTACAAAAATTAAATTAAATTAAAAAAATAATTAAGAAACAAGCAAAATAGTAAAAATAGAAATGTTATTTGTTTTAATTACCTTTCGACAATAAACACAAAAACTGTATTCACATTGGGCGCATGTCGCTAAATTATCATTTAAATTCTCCCTTATTACTGGATAATTACAATATTTTCTTGCACAAGCCACAGTATCTTCCATTAAATCAACTGTTCTGTTTAATAATAATTCATCATATTTTGCAAATTCCTTTTCATCACATAATAATTCTTTAATTTCATCATATTCAATTTCCATTATACAATCAATTTTTGGACATAAAATTTTCGAAACATTACCATCATTGATACGCGATGAAAAATATTGTTCCAAACAATTGCGGCAAAAAATATGTTGACATTTTTTCATTTCAACACATAAAACACCAGCGCGTTGTAAAAGACAAATTTCACAAAAATGTGTAATTTTATTAAAATTTTCTGAATATTTTATTTTATTCACTTTCATTAAATAATTCAATGGACAGCGACGCATTGGTTTTACAACACGTGAATCGCGTAAATTTTTAATTATTTCATCTAATAAAATATCATCATTATCTTTATTTAATGAAAATTGAAATGAAATATCAATTTTATCATGTATCTCTAAAAATGTGAAGAGATGATTTTTTAAAAAATCAATCCATATATAAAGTATTTCGCTACCAACATTTTGTGTCCATAATTCATCCAGTTTTTGACAAATTTGTGATAATTGCCATGGTGTTAACCATGCAACATCAATTGTAAATTCTGGTGCCTCATTCAATGGATAGTTGGATGTAAATTTTAAATAAAATTGAATTGGTGGTAAATATTCAAGAAATATACTACCAAAATCAATTGGTTGTTTGTGATTTTTTCCATTTTCATAAATATATGAGGCTTGAATTTCTTTTTTTGGTAAAATTGGATTTATTTTAAATATAATTTCAATATCTAAATGACCATCGGTAAATTCCTCACAATTATCATCGCTAAAAATAAATTTCACCGCATTTATCTCCTCCAAATGTTGCATTTTTATAATTTGACAATTCTGAAAATTTATTTATTATCTTTAATTATTTTAATATAACATAGTGTCTGAATTATTTTTTATTGTTTGATTTAAAAAAAAGGCAAAAAAATCCAGTATCGTAATTTTGATAGCGAAGAGAGCATGTGATACATGTTAACCATTAATAGAAAATATAGAGTTTTGTTTTGCTGTATACTACAATTTCTTTTTCAATGGACTTATAAAATAGAAAATAAAATATGAAATAATAATAATAAAATAAATTCTAACCTTTTTTTCCAATTTATCCTGTAAATCGGTTAATTTATTACGAAGTCGTTTCACCTGTTGGCCTGGTTCTTTGGTCCAAGTCTTCAAAGGCATTTTTGGCGACACTTTTTTATTTTATTAACACTCACGTAAAATTAAAAACGATAAAAAAATATATTTATATCATTTTTTAAATTAACTATTTTAAAAATGTACGTATTCAATATTTAGCTTGGGAATTTGTAAATAGAAACACAAATGACCGCCAGAAAAAAATGTAAACACTTCTACTCTCAGGGGTGTACAGATCGTGAGAAAAAAATACCTTAATTAAGTATTTATTTAAACATTTTTACCTGTCAATTTTTTTCTTTGAAAGAAAATATTTCTTTGGAATTTATTTTCAAATTAAATAAAATATAGCTTTTAGAAAGTATTATTTAAAGAAAATAATAAATTACTATTCAAATTACTATTCCAGAGATGCAATGACATGGTACGGTAGGTGAAATATTAGATACGATGATAGGTGCTTTCTGCAATATATACAATAACTATTAAGGTATATTCACAACAATTTTTCTTTCTCAACTTATCCAATATGTGACTTCACCATTACATAGTAGAGTTAAATTAATAATTATTAATTATTTAATAAACAATTATAATTAAATAAAAATATTTGAATTTAAAAAAGAGAATTTTCAGGTTCTATAATAAAAAAATAAATAAAGTACTTTTTAGATTTAACGACAGGGTATAGTAGGTTAACCATTAGACATATATAAAGGTACTTTTTACAATATAGTCGTTAAGAGGTGTGTTCGCACACGATTCCTTTTAACGCCTCCAATACATGATTTCACCGTTAAGTCAAGTTAAATTTAATTATTAAATACTGAATAAACTATTAATTAGCTGAATAAAAAACAAAATAATTAAATTTTTCAAAATCGAACCTTAAAGGTTCTATAATAATAATAATAATAATAAAAAAATGTAATAAAAAAAAAATTACAATAAACAATTTCCCAATTAATCGTGCCTTTTATTTTTGCAATTTTGATTTATTCATTTTTCAATATTTTATAATTATTATAAATGTTTTGTTATTGTGGAAAATATATTGCTTATTATTTCTATATTTTCATTAATTTCCTTAAATTTCCTCAATATATAGAAAAATTAGTCATGACTTAAAAAACATTCAAAGACAAAATATATTATGTAATATATATGACGCAATCTAAAGAAACGGAAGTAAGAATTAACAACACAATTATGGGTTATGTTTATGATATAGTTTTAGCTTGATTAAAGTGTCATTGATTTAATTATAATAAAATAAAAATTAATTTGTATTTGATATTTTATCCACCCAAGAAGCACGTAATATATCCTCAATATCAAGGTAATATTACACGTGAGATTTGTAATATAACGCTGTAATAATACAATAATCTTACAGTGATCTCAAAATGTCCGCCTCAAGGTAATATTACCGGGAATATTACTGTAATATTACAGTAATATTACAGACTGATTTGAGTTATTCATAAAGCATAAAAAACGTAAATATATTATAAGTCAATTTGGCTTGTTGGTAAAACTTTAGACTCGTGTGCTTTGAGTTCGGGGTTCGATTCCCTGGATGGGTAGATTTTTTTCGTAAAGAAATATTCCCATAATATTACTGTAATATTTTCTTGTAACATTACCTTAATATTACGGTATAATATTACTGCAATATTACTGTAATATTACCTTAATATTAGCGCGTAATATTACAGTAACATTACCGGTAATATTACCTTGAGGCGGACATTTTAAGATCACTGTAAGATTACTGTAATATTACAACGTTATATTACGAATCTTACTGTATTACCTTGATATTGAGGTTATATTACGTGCTTCTTGGGCATTTAATATGTAACAATTATTGAATATTTTAGTTGATCCACAAACTATCATTAAGCTATAAATTAGGTCCTTTTATTTTAAAGTATGTCACATATAAGACGTGTTTAAAAAAAAATTAAGCAAAAATAACAATTATTTAATTTCTAAAGTTGCATTGCCAATTTTTGTTCTAATAGAAGATTATTATCGGGTGGCAATGCAAGACATGCTCTGAGAATATTTTCAATGGCATTTCTTTGTTTAAATAAAGCATTAATCACTGGTGTACCCTTAGGTACAAGTGGCGCTTTACAAAGATATGAAAGTAAACTTAAAACACTGTGAAATGTGGAAAATTCCTCCTCGGGCAAATCGGCCGTTTTAAATGTTATTCTTGAACATAATTCAGCAAGTATAACTAAATCAAGAATTATTGGACTCGCCAATAGTGAATCCTCACATGTATTGTGAACAACAATTGTATTATGACCACCCAACATTAATTCTGAAGTATATTCATCCATTGCTCTTTTACTGTCGCCCACATATGGTACATATTTAATTACAACGCAATGATCTGGTTTTTCATCTGGCTTATATAGAATTCCATTTGATTTTACCATATCGTCCACTACATTACTTTTTGATATCTACAAGTAAAAAAAAAATATGATCTGTTTTTTTAAATATTACAGTATAAAAAATGTAATTTATAATAAAATAAATTTAATTTAGTCTTACCTCTTTAGATTTGAATTGAAGAGGCGCTGAAAGATTATATCCATCATTATTGCCTAAATGATTGTAGCTTACAATTGAAACTGGTTTAATTCCAGCTGAGACGAGAAAATCAACAAGAACTGATTTTAATTTTGTTTGACCCGATTTAAAATCATCACCGGCAATAAATGTTTTCAATTTTTCGGCCAATTCCATTGCTCCCGGTACAAATGTATTTTGAGGTGAACCATTTATATACGTACACTGAAAAGAAAATATTATCAGCTTTTTTTTTTTCTTTTTTAATATTTAATATTATTATTTTCATTTTCACTTACTCCCTCCAATGCGGATGCAACAGCAAACATTGTACTTGGACTAATTTCCGGATGATTGTTATCAATTGCTTTCAATAAATTGTCAGAGGTATCATTAACGCCAGGAATTATTTCACTGAATCGTTCAGTGTTCGCTGTCCAAAGAACAATGATTTTGTCCAAATTTTTGGACAATTTAAAATCAACTATATCATCACGAATTTTATTTAATTGCTCTTTTTTTGTACCGCCTAGAATGTTATTGGCACGATTTTCCTTTAAAAAAAAATAAATAATAATGAATATTATTTTATTTTTACTATTTAAAAATTGCAAATTGTCACGTAAACAAAAAAAAATGTAACTTTATATTTTAAGATTCGAGTTCACAATCTATGTACAGTCGGTAACATAGATGCGTGCGAAATTTAAATTAAGGAAATTTAAATTTAAATTTAATGCATTATTAAAAGATAATATTATATTATGTGATAAATAAGTAAATATGAAAAATGTTATATTATCATAAAACTAAATTAATTAAAGAAAATCTTTTTTTTTTTTTAAATATTTCTTTCAATTGTTTACCTGATTAGCGGCAATGAAATCGGGATAATAAATACTTTTCCTCGGTAGCATTTGTGACATTTCATTTTTCAATTGTTTTTGCAAATTAATATCAATTACTTTGGCACGTTCCATCGCGCCCGCCAAATTTAAATTCGAAATATCCCATCCATCGATTAAAATATCATCTGGATTTATCATTGGCAACATCGATGACATTGGTACATAAACATCTTCGCCATCCATTGTTCCCAATTTCATTGTTGACGCCTGAACCAGAGAACCATACCTGTAATTTAGCAAAAAAAAAAAAAAATTATTTTGTATAAATTAAAATTCTCTTAAATAAAAGAATAAAAAATGTTTCTTACCAATTTGCAGTTTGAATTCCATCTTTTGTTTCCCACGAGAGTTTCTGTTTGTTGGCCAATAAAGCAGCAGTTATTGTTGAACCATTATTTCCACCCCAGCCAACAAGCATTAATCCCAACTTTGGAAGTTTCAATTCCGTTCGAATTAAAAGTGTTTTTGATTCAGGTATGACCTTAAAATAAAAAAAAAAAATTCAATTATTGTAATTTAGAATAATATTAAGCATTTTTTTACGTGAAAAAAAGCTTTAACTATGACGCCCTCTGCAGAAAAGAACATAAGAACTATCATAAACATAACCTATAAATTTTTGCTTTACAGTGTCCCTTTCTTCAGAGCACGTTATACATTCAGGTACATATATACCTACATAAAAAATATTTTGGCTAAAAAAATATATCAAGAAGAAATTTTTTTAATCATAGAAAAAACATATATATAATGAATTTATTACAATAATAATTTAACTATATCTTTATAACAATCTTATATTATTAATTGGATATTAAATTATTATTATTATTAGTTTTTTAAATTAAAGAAACTATGACAATTATCAAAATTTCTCTTACTAATTTGGTTATTTTAATCCTCTTTTTTTTAATTTTCTTCTTGTAATTATTTTGGCCATTTCTGACCAATGAAATTGACTCGTTTCCGGCTGAAATAGTGTCATTATATGATTAGGAAATGATGCGATAATTTTTTATTTAAAAAAAAATTTTATAATAATTTTTTAAAAATTTGTCAAGTTTAAAAAAAAAATTTACAAATAAATGCTATTATAATCAATAAATCCGAAACTTTTTTTTTTCAATACCCCTATAGTAATAAATTATTTTTTTTTTGATTTCCTAAAAAAAATTTTTAATTTTATTTATATAAAAAAATAAAAACTTACAGTAAAATATGATAAATCTTCGTGTTTAATAACTTTAGAAATTTGATAGTCATATTCAGCTTCAATGTATTCTTCGGTATATTTCACTTTTGTTGAATCCACACGAATTTTCAAGGCCATGGTTAATAATGATTTTTCTCGCTACTATATATATTTGGAAAAAATATAAGCGATCAATATCTATATTTAAATTTTTATAAAAGAGAACTAATATTACATCAGTGAAAAAAAAAAAATTATGTAATTTTGAAAAAAAAAATTTTTATGTTTGGTAGAATCTTCAATACGATGTCGATGTATATATGAATAGAGTTCGAGAATAGTGTGACAATATATTGAATAGAAAATATTTCTTTCTTAAGGGAATGAATAACATTTGGGCATGCGCTTTTCAAGAAAATATTTTCCTGGGCGTTAGATATGAAAACCAGTGAAAAAATATATCTGACCCTACAACTACATTATACATTTGAAAGGGAACTCTCTAGTTTTTCTTATTTTCTACAGTTTTGGGGCTTTTTTCAACTTTTTTTCAGTGGTGAAAAAATTTGTTCTTAATATTTTTATTATTAAATTACCTAATTAATTTAAAATAATTTTCCGTTTTCAATTATTATTACCTATAATTATTATTTACTTTTTAAACGTTTTAAACAAATAAAATAAATAATTAATAATTGATTTTAATAAATTAATTTTATATGGAATGTCCCTTATATTAATTAGAACATTATAAAATAATAATAATTAAATAAATATATTTACCTATACTTTTTCAACCCTAATAGAATTAAAGAAAAATTTCTTCAAAAAAAAAAACAACAACAATTTGAATAAAATTATAGAATTAATTGTATTTTTTAAAACTTTTTATTTTTTTAATTTTATTATTTTTTACGAAAAATTTTTTTTATTTAATTAATAATTAATAATTTACTTAATTATTGAAGAAAAAATATTCTCTAGTATTTTATTTAGTTGTACAGGCTGTAATTTTTTCATATTGGCACACCTGAAATTATTTAGCTTCCAGGGTTGGGTACGTGTGATAAAATTGACTTTACCAACTGAGTGTGACGTCACTGTAATTTCCATATGTATTGTGTCTGCTTTCCTTTTAATTCTCTTCCTTGATTTTTATTTAAATCTTTAAATGGATTGAATAACATAAAAAAAGTGAGAAAAACAGTCATATTATTATAGTGTTTCAAATTTGTTGTGTGATTTAAAAAAAAACATGCTACAATTGGCATTAAAACATAAATTTGGTTACGATGACTTCAAAAACGAGACACAAAAAAAAGCCACTGCCGCCGTTTATAGAGGTTAGGAATTTAATTTGATTTATTTATATACAATATACATATACATATACATATATATATAATATGTTATACATTTTTTCATAATTTCCCCATTTTCTTTTTTTTTATATTCTTTACTAAATTACAAATTGTTTTTAATTTACAAATATTGGTAAAAGTTTATTAAAAGAAAATTAGAGAAAAAATAATTTGAATAATAATTTCTATAAAATAATAATTCAGAAAGTAGATTATGTTTTGTTTTTGTTTTGTTCTGCAAAACGAAATAAACAAATTTACCTGTCCGACTTTTCTTATAACTTTCTAAGATAATAATAATTTCCAATGTTTGATAATATAATATTAACATTTGCAAAACAAATGTGAATATTTCTTTTAAAAAAAATGTGAATAAAACTATAGATATATAATAAAAAAAAATTTTCAGGTGATAAAGATGTATTTATTCGAATGCCCACTGGATCTGGTAAATCTCTTTGTTTTCAATTGCCAGCAGTTTTAAAAGAAAAATCTGTGACTCTTGTTGTTTCACCATTAATAGCATTGGTCAAAGTAAGTTTTTTTTTTTATTTAAAAAAAATTTAATTTTTTCTCCAATATATTTGTCAATTAAATTATAATATAAATTTTTTCCTGAAGTGTTATTTACTCATTTTTTTCTTCTTTTTCTTATTAAATGATAAATTTTCTTCTTTATTTTAGAATCAATTGGATTTTTTGGAGGGGAAAAAAATCAATGCTAAGGCAATTAATTCGAAAAGCACACAAAATGAACGTAAGGCAATTATTGATGATTTATTATCAAAAGCACCAAAAATTCAATTACTCTATGTCACACCGGAAATGTGCCTTCAGCCGAATTTTCGGGTAATTATTTCTTTTTTCTTTTAACCTTTTTTTATTTATTTATATATTTTAATTTTAATACATATTTATTCTTTTATAATAAACACTATTTATCTCAATATTTATTTATAATACAATAATACTTATAATTTATTAAGAAAAAATGAATTTTATTTAATGTTTTGTTTTTTTTTTTTTTAATATCGTCATTAATGAGAAAGAGAAAAAATTATTTTCTTTTTTATTTTCAGTCCATTGTGAATTCCTTAAATTCCAATAAAACACTATCTTATTTGGTTATTGATGAGGCGCATTGTTTAAGTCAATGGGGACATGATTTTCGACCAAGTTATAGAAAATTGTCATTTTTTCGTGAAACATTTCCCGAAATTCCCGTTGTTGCATTAACAGCAACAGCAACAAAAGAGGTAATCAAAGATATAACATCATCGCTAAATATGAAAAATCCATTAATGATATCAACGCCAATATTTCGTTCAAATCTTTATTATGACGTTTGGTACACAGCGTCAGTAAAAAATCCCATACAACACTTGAAAGAATTTATTGTTGATTGTCTTGGTATTAATGAAGAAGAAACAACAACAACAAAGCCTGTAGGTAACATATTGTAATCTTTTTTTTTTTTTTATTTTAATTCATAAATGAATTTTCCTTTAATTTTGATGTGTGAATATAAAATAAATTTGTTAATTTCAGGAAAATAAAAATTGTGGAATTGTTTATTGTCGTCGTAAAGAAGACACGGAAATTATTGCTGAAAAATTATCTTGTCTTGGAATTTCAACGCTTGCATATCATGCGGGTAATTGATAAATTAAATTCATTAATAATGGCATAAAAATGAGTCTTTTTTTTAAAACAAAATAGTTTTTTTTGCAACACTAATCTCTAAAGTTAAATTTTACACACCGAAAAGTGTGTGTAAAGAAGCTCTTTTTCAAACGGTGTGTAAAGTGATTCGCTTTACGCATTTTAAAAAATATTTTTCAATTAAACGTTTTTTGGCTTTTTTCCTTAGGATTGAAAAGTAAAGAACGAGAGTCTGTTCAGGATAAATGGACATCGGGCGAAGTTCCAGTAATTGCAGCGACTTGCAGTTTTGGAATGGGAGTCGATAAGGGACCAGTTAGGTAAAAAAAAATATTTTTTTTTTATTTCATCCTCTTTTTTTGGTTTTTGCAATTTTTTATGAACTAAAATTAATAATTTACAGGTTCGTTGTTCATTGGACAGTTCCACAATCGATTTCTGCCTATTATCAAGAATCGGGAAGAGCTGGTCGTGATGGAAAACCGGCATTTTGTCGTGTTTATTATAGTCAAGATGAATGTAATATTATTGGATTCTTGATAAAAGAAGCGAAAGGTGAATTTTCACAATTGCCACCAGATGTGGCTAAACATAAATGGGGCGATTTTGAAAAAGCAGTCGCTTATTGTATAGACGTTAAGTATGTATTATCTTTTTTGCCAGAATTTTTCTTTATTTTTAATTGATAAATTTCATTTGATTTTGTTTTTTCTTCTATTTTCAATTTATTTTTAATTTTCTGTGTTTGTATTTTTCTTGTTTTTAAAAACTTTTCCTTTTAAGTTTCCCATCTATGTACTGTCGGTAAAGTAGATAACGAAGACGAAATAATATATTTTTTTTTTAATTTTCATAATTTTTCTATTTTACATTTATTTTGATATTTTATAACATTTTTGTTTCTTTCTATAATTTCTCATAAACTTACTTTTTATTCTGAAAAGAGACATTGAAAACAATTTTTTTCATTTTTATTAGATGTCGTCATGGTGTTTTTTCGAAATATTTCAATGATTCAATGCCGTCATGTAAAAATTTGTGTGACGTTTGTAAGGATAAAGACGAGGTTAAAGCACGATTAACGGAATTGGAATTTAATTCAACGAAAATTAAACATAATAATAGAAATAATGATAAAGATGATTTTCTTGGTCTTACGAAAATTGACAATGGTCTTTGTGAACATGACAATTGGAATGAAAATTCAAGTGAAAAACGCGATGAAGATCGACGTAAAGCTGAAAAGGAATTAATTGATCGACAATTTGCGTTGAGACGAAATCAAAAAAGTCACGAGGAGGTAAAATTTTTTATTGTTATTATAATTATAGAAAAAGAAATTTTCTTTCTAAAAATTTTCACTTGAGTTTCCCATTTATTTTTCTTCGGTAAAGTAGTTGCAGGCAGTGTTAGAGGAAAATTTGAAAAAAAAAATTACGGGAAATTTTAATGGTTTTTATTCACTTTTTATTTTTTTTTTCTCAGGACAAAGAAGAGAAGGAATATGCAAAATATTCTTACATATTATCTGCTGAATTTACGTCAACAAAAATTAAGGGCCTCACTGTTAAGGTAAAAAAATTAAAATTCGATTGCTTAAAAAATAAATTAATTCGAATAAATTTTTGTTTTGTTTTTTTCACAGACGAGGGAAGCACTTTACGATCAACTTTTTGAGGTTTTATCGAAAAATTGCCGACAATTTGATTTAAAATATACCACTGAAGATATTCGAAATTTGGCACTTCAATTAGAATACAAAAATCTTTGCACCACACGATTAATTAATACTTACAAACTCAATATGCATAAACTGGTAATTATTATCAATTCTTTTTAAATTTATTCTGCCTATTAAATTTTTTCTCAAATTTGTTAATTTTTTTTTAAAGATATCCGCAATAAGAAAATGCAATGAAAGCAATTCACTTCACGAAAGTTTAAAGGAAGTGGATAAAAAAAGATCGGAAGCAAATTTTGACGATGAAATGAAAAAATTCGAGGATTCAATAAATATTGAAATTTCATCGACGACAAAATTTGATGGTTTCAAATCGGCTTTACAAATATCAAAATCTTTATTAACGGAAAAAAATGAAAAATGTGATAAAAAATCAAGTGATTCACAATCAAAAATTGACACAACGAAATTAGCTGCCAATGAAAATAATTCATTACCCGATCTCAATAAACTGGAATGTTTAAAAAATATTCAATTTGATGGTTTTAAATCGGCATTACAAATTATTAAAATTCAAGAGGCAGAAGCAGCAGCCCGTGTCAAAGAAGAAAAACATTTCAAACACGAATCACAATTAAAAATTCAAAATGATGATGAAGAGAAGCAAAAAGAAAAAATGAAACACGAATCACAACAAGAATTAACATTAAAAAGAGATAGAAATAAATTGCAAATTGAAAAAGAATGTGAAAGTGAAAAAAAAATAGAGACAAAAATTGATAATAATAATAGAAAAAGTAAAATAATAAAACAAGAGAAAAGTACAAAACAAATAGCGAGAGATTCACTTTTCGATTGTGAACCACGTGAATCGCCACGTAAAAAAAAATTGGAAAATTATTTTCAAAATGATGTTATTTCTGCATCATCTCAAAAAATAATGAAATCATCATCTGCGGAAATTATTTATAATAATGATAATGAAACAAAAGCAAAAAATGAAGGACAAGAAGAAGAAAAACAAGAAAAAGATGTAAAAAAATTAATAGAAAAAGAAATGAAAAATTCTAAGCGAAAATTATCGCGAGATGAAAAAACAAAAATTAATTCTCAAACAAAAAAATCTAGTAATGATAATAAAAAAAATTATAAAAAAGATGTGAATGTTGCATTACATTGGAAAATTTCGGAGATAACGAAAAAAAACCTTCAAGAATATTTTCCATCGCCCGACATTCCCGATAGTGATACATTTAAATTAATTTGCCGTAAAATGGTTCATCAATTACTCGCCAAACGAATGTCAGGTGAGAAACATTTTTATTTCTTTTTTTTTTTGAAATTAATTAAAAGGTGAGGCAAAAAATTATGATTTTAGTCAATTAGAAACATTCAAAGAAATTAATTACTTTAGAATATTAATTTGTTTTTCTTTCAGAGGAAAAAGACATACAAATTTTCGTCAAGAAGAATTTAGCATTTTTTAAATCAAAATTGCTGAGCAAAGCTTAAATTCTTTTAGGAAATTTGATTTGTAAAATGTATATATACGAAATCAAGTTTCTATATTTCAATAACTAAATAATATTTATTATATAATAATTTTTTTTATTATTTAAGTGTTTGTTCGAATGTTAGACATTATTACTATTATTATTATTATAGTTCTTACGCTAAGTTGTTACATTTAATTTTTTTTCGATTATATTTATAAAATAAAGTAATCTCGTCATTATAATATTGTTCCCTCGAAACTCAATAATATTATATATATATGTAAAATTCGTAAATTTAGAAAAAAAGAAAGAATTATATTTAAATAAAATTAATCTGCATTGCATTAACCATAATTTCTATTTTTTTTTTTTTAATTTTTTGATTGTCAGGTTTTAAAAAGAAAAAATTTTCTAAAAGCAATAATAAATAATTTAAATTATTTAAATTCTACTTGACTCGTAAAATAAAAAAAAATATTTTTATTATTGTTTATTATTAATTATTTTATTTTAAAGTATAAAACAATTTAAATTTCGCGCCATTACAAATACCCTAGGAAATAGGACATTTAACAATTTTAAGTTAGCAGCAGTGCTCGTAACTGTTTCTTATTTTTACACAAACCCACAATCAAAATATTGCATATAAAGAACTTGTACTGAGCGATTTTAATTTTTTTTCTTAAAATGTTCTATTTTATTTGAATATGTGATACACAATAACGTGATAATTGTCAAATTTCATTAATACCAGTGTATAATATTATAAAGTATATTTCAACTGATATATTTTTCTTCAAAGAAACGGTATAAATTTAACCTAACTTTTAATATAAAGTAAGTCCTGCTATTTTTTCTCCTTATTTTCACTTTTTTTTTTTTAAACAAGAGAATATAAGATTCTAATTTTTTTTTTTAAACAATTGTTGATATATTAAAGAAATTTATCCTATCACATTGCTTTTATAATAATATTTTATGAATATGCGATGAAAAGACAATTTTTTTTTGTGAAATTGTTTTATATTTTATAATTTTGCAAAAAAAAAAAATTGATTTTAATTTCACTTTTCTGATGTTAATATCATTAATTCAAACAATGAAAATTTAATGAATTCTTTATAAAACTGCAAAATATTAATATATATTGAGAAAAAATAATTTTTTTGATATTTACAAATCTATTTCGGTTTTCCACAAACTGTTTTATAATTTATAATAAAACGTCAATTCTCTCTTGGTTCGAAAAAATTAAAAATCACATTCTATCATAAAAAACAAAAAAAAGGTACCATAATGAGCGAATCCATGTCAAATCATGCAGGCAGTCCGATGATATATTGCGAATTAATTTCAGAATGAAGTATGTTATTCTACTTGAAAAATAATGAAATACGTGTTTTTTTAATATTTTGATTCGATTTTGTGTGTAGTTTTTACGACTTTTTAAAGATTTTTTCAAGAAAATTAATTTTTTTGTATTTTTCGCTTAAAAACAGCATAACTTTCGTAATTTTTAACCTTTTTTGTTGCTCCTGGGCTTATTTTTTCATTTTTTTTTTACTCTTTTAAAAAAAATTGCTCCGAATAAAAAATATTAAAAAACAAGGATAAAAATGGAATTTTTCGAAAAAACAAAAAAAAATTTTTTCTCAAAAATGCCACCTTTTTTTTGCCCAAATTTTCAGGATTTATTGGTACACATATGTACTACATACGATAAAAATTTCACTTGGTATTTTTTTGTTTCTTAGGAAAAAAAAAAATATTTTAATTTTTTTGATTAAAAATTCTAAAAATCATCAAATTTAAAAGGTTTCTATAACTGCTCCTTGATTCATTTTTTACTTTTCAACATTATTTTCGAAAATTGCGCAAAAAATAAAGAATGTTAATAAATTGCAAGAAAAATAACTTTGTTTTAGAATAAAAAGGAAAAAAAAGATTTCAAAATTTTTTTTTTTTTTTCAAAATTGCTTTTTAGATTTTTTATGTATTGATCAATTCTAAAAGCAATATTTAGAAAAAAAAAACAATTTCAACAATCCAATCAATCGATCGGAATAATTTTCGAAAATTACGTAAAAAACAAAAGAATGTTAATAATTTTTAAAAATATCTAATTTTTTTATAGAAAAAAAAAACGAAACAAATAGGTTTCAAAAATATTTTTTTTATACGTACATTTTTTGTTTGTTATTTTTTCGGGTTTCTATAAAACTACTTTTTTTATATTTCCTTTTAAAACGATTTGACAAACAAAAATGTACGTATAAAAAAAAAATATTTTTGAAACCTATTTGTTTCGTTTTTTTTTTTTCTCTAAAAAAATTAGATATTTTTAAAAATATTAATATTCTTTATTTTTTACGCAATTTTCGAAAATAATTCGATCGATTGATTGGATTGTTGATATTGTTTTTTTGTCTTCTAAATACTGCTTTTAGAATTGATCAATTTTTTGCGCAATTTTCGAAAATAATGTTGAAAAGTAAAAAAATGAATCAAGGAGCAATTAGAAACCTTTTAAATTTGATGATTTTTAGAGTTTTTAATAAAAAAAAATTAAAATATTTTTTTTTTTCCTAAGAAACAAAAAAATATCAAAGTGAAATTTTTATCGTATGTAGTACATATGTGTACCAATAAATCCTGAAAATTTGGGGCAAAAAAAGGTGGCATTTTTGAGAAAAAAATTTTTTTTTTTCGAAAAATTCCATTTTTATCCTTGTTTTTTAATATTTTTCATTCGGAGCAACTTTTTTTAAAAGAGTAAAAAAAAAAATGAAAAAAATAAGCCCAGGAGCAACAAAAAAGGTTAAAAATTACGAAAGTTATGCTGTTTTTAAGCGAAAAATACAAAAAAATTAATTTTCTTGAAAAAATCTTTAAAAAGTCGTAAAAACTACACACAAAATCGAATCAAAATATTAAAAAAACACGTATTTCATTATTTTTCAAGTAGAATAACATACTTCATTCTGAAATTAATTCGCAATATATCATCGGACTGCCTGCATGATTTCACATGGATTCGGTCTAATATAGTAAAAATAATTTGTTTTAATCACCTATTATTTTAGTTGAGAAATATTTGCAGTTGGAAAAATTTCGTTTGAATTCGCTCGTTTTTATCATCCGAACAAAATTGACAATATTGTGTATGATACAAACGGGAGAACGTGAGATGTCACTGGTACTCGTCTCCTGGGAAAAGGAAGTCGTGGCTCGTGCGCGTGTCGCGACACAAGACGAGAGAGAGAGAGAGAAAGAGAGAGATATGAGGGACTTGGAAAAAGAGCTGAAGGTTGACGTTTCGCTTAGAAAATTTTTGCTCGAGTGATGAGTAGTTAGTTGTGAATGTGTATGTGTGTGGTCCAGCCTGTGGTGCGTGTGATTACTATGTTCGATTCGTAATTTTTCAGGTACCCAAAGGATAAGAAGGAAGGAAGTGTGCATGCAGAAAAAGCCCCTCTTTCTTGTAGCGAAGAAATCTCGTTTCGAGAAATTAATGACGATACTTCGTTTTTAGATCATGTAGCAACTGATAGTGTGTCATTACCAAGTAAACGCGCGCCAATGAGCGCGAATCATTGCGAATTATGAAAAATATTGATGGGGCGAGGTCCATGCAATTTTTTTTAACTAATAATAATAATAATTGAAATTATTTCCTCGGCCTTGAAAAAAAAAAATCATTCCCGCGGGGATCGAAATCATCGCAGTGGTTAGGGTCTTTTGTTCATGGAGAGGCAAGACTGGCAAAAGAATTTGCAGCGAATTGAGAAGAATTTAACACGGGATCCTGAAGGATGTCCGTTGTACGACGCACCGAATGAGAATGAAAATATCTCCAGTGGGCATAATAAGAGGGAGAACGTCCTTTCAGGTGGTGATGCTCATCAAGAGGAGGTGGACAAATACGACTGTGAAGGAGCGGCTTTTACAAGCGGCGGGGAAACTAGAGTGGGAGTCAGTGCGGATGCACTCAACGAGATCGCGGCCAAAGTTCAGGTAACCTAAATTTCAATTATATATATTTTATTTTCACTTTTATATCCAATTTCAAGAAAATAGAATATTGCTACATATATACAACTGAACGAGATTCAGAAAAAAGAAGAAAAGTATCTAGATCTGGGTATACGAGACACTAAATTCGGCCCTTATCTCAGAAACACCGAAATATTATAGTTGAGAGCAATTATTATATCCTGGTTTCATGCTTCAGAACCACCTAAAGGGACATTATATAAACCATGATGTCCGTTTTTAAAACTACGAGGTTCCTTTTTACTAACCGCAGTGTGCACCAAAATTTTTTCCGTGTATATTAGCTTTGAAATTTCTATCTCATTCCGGGAATTCTCTTAATAGAATACACAAAAATTCTGAACTCAACATAGAAAATTAAAAGGTATTAAAATAAACTGCAACGCTTATTATTTTAATACAATTTTGCTTATTTTAATACCAAAATGGATTAAAATAAGCAAAATTGGATTAAAATAATAAGCGTTGCAACTTATTTTAATGCCTTTTTAATTTTCTGTGAAATTGACTTGAATTTAGACCCAATTTGAAGTGCAACAAAAATGAGTGAATAAAATGGCGCCAAGTTCTATGCTCATTTTCTTTCGCTTCAAATTGAGTCTGATCCCAAGAAGCACGTAATATAACTTCAATATCAAGATAATATTACATGTAAGATTCGTAATATAACGTTGTAATATTACAGTAATCTTACAGTGATCTTAAAATATCCGCCTCAAGGTAATATTACTGGTAATGTTACTGTAATATTAAGCGCTAATATTAAGGTAATATTACAGTAATATTATACCGTAATATTAAGGTAATATTACAAGAAAATATTACAGTAATATTATGGGAATATTTCTTTACGAAAAAAATCTACCCATCCAGGGAATCGAACCCCGAACTCAAAGCACACGAGTCCAGAGTTTTACCAACAAGCCAAATTCACTTATAATATATTTACGTTTTTTATGCTTTATGAATAACTCAAATCAGTCTGTAATATTACTGTAATATTACTGTAATATTACAGTAATATTCCCGGTAATATTACCTTGAGGCGGACATTTTAAGATCACTGTAAGATTACTGTAATATTACAGCGTTATATTACGAATCTCACGTGTAATATTACCTTGATATTGAGGATATATTACACAGAAAATTAAAAGGCATTAAAATAAGTTGCAACGCTTATTATTTTAATCCAATTTTGCTTATTTTAATCCATTTTGGTATTAAAATAAGCAAAATTGGATTAGAATAATAAGCGTTGCAGCTTATTTTAATACCTTATAATTTTCTGTGTACGTGCTTCTTGGGATTAAGTTTTTTCTTTATAAATATATATTTTAATATTTAATTCAAGCTTAAATGGTTAAAAAATAATAGAATAGATAGATCATTTTGAATTAATTCTTTCTGAAATGAAGATAATCATTTTAATTTTTCGTTTTATACACAGAAAATTATAAGGTATTAAAATAAGCTGCAACGCTTATTATTTTAAGCCAATTTTGCTTATTTTAATACCAAAATGGATTAAAATAAGCAAAATTGGATTAAAATAATAAGCGTTGCAGCTTATTTTAATGCCTTTTAATTTTCTGTGTAATTCATAGCTTTGTTTATAACGAATATACAATATATAGTATTTGGTAGTGGTTGTGGAAAAAAATCATTTCCATTTATTGCACAGAAAATTAAAATGCATTAAAATAATCTGCAACGCTTATTATTTTAATCTAATTTTGATTATTTTAATCCATTTTGTTATTAAAATAAGCAAAATTGGATTAAAATAATAAGCGTTGCAGCTTATTTTAATGCCTTTTAATTTTCTGTGTGTAGAAGAAATATTGTCGAAGGTTGCAAATAATAGGTGGTTTCAAGAGAGTAGGCATTACATTAATATTGGCTCGCGCGTGGTGTTTCTAATCGCCCACACGACACTTTTGCAACTGTGTATGACAATTTGCCGGACTATAAAGATCCGTGAGTTGCCCGATCGCGTATATAGTTTGTACAACATGAGAGAAAGAGAGAGAGAGAGAGAGAGAGAAGAACAAAATACGAACTGTCTGAAGAGGTATTGGTTAATGTACCTACATGCGCGATTATAATGGATGAGAAGGTAATCTGGCCGTGCCAGATTCAGGTTTGTTGACACGGATCTCCTCCGTCCGGGTGGAAAGGCGGGAGTCACCTTCGTTTGTTCGACACATTCGTTTCAGTGAGCCGCGCTTATATCAAATGGCTCTCTTTTTTTCGTATATATGTATATATGTATTTATATAATCTTCAGTCTGTCGAATTTGAAACCTTTTTTTCATATCACTTTGTGACGCTTCTCTCTTTCGTTTCTTTTTTTGTCAACAATTTTTACAATCCTCCAAGCAGAATTAATGTTCTACATTACTTTCATCAACATCATCATTATTTCAAAAAGATTTATAGACATAAAAAGTATTTCTCTTTTGACATTATTGTTTTATAGCCATACAATAGGAACAATATTCCTTGGAATGGAATATTATTCTTCTTGTAGTAGGGGAAAAATTGCCTGTGAAGGGAACAACCTTTAATTGTTGTGTATATATATACATATAAGAAAAAGGCCTTGAAGTTTGCCTTTTGGGTTTTTAAAAGTAGTTTTCAATTCTCTGATGAAAGTTTTTCCTTTTTCTTTCTTCATCAAACTTCCATTGGGATACATTGTATGTAAAACGTTATACCTTAAACACTTCTTATATCGACAATTGTTTATATATGCTAACTATGGGTACGGACGGGAATCTTATATTTAAATGTCGCGACCATTTGTCATATCGTTTAAGGGGGTAGTCTGGTGTTTCGATGCCTTTTTGGCAGCTTATTTCAGGATTTTTTTTTATTATAAAATAAAATATAATCACACCAAATCTTTTTACTTTGTTTTATTCTAATCATGAAGTGTTGAAAAAAAATTATAATCGATTATTTTTTACTAGATTTTGTTATTTATATTTAATATTAATGTTTATAACAAAAAAAATGCTGGCGCAGGTGATTTACAAAAATCTATCCAACCGATTGCTCCAATTTTTTTTACAGCTTATTCTATACACAAGCATGGCTCTGGCCCATACTAGAATAAAACATTATTGTTAATAAATAACAAAATAGCGAACTATATATAAGCAAAAAGATTCAAAAATTGTCTCTTTTTTTATTGACAAAAAGTTAAAATTAAAAAAAAGTTATCATTAAAATTGCGTAATTCTAGTACGGGCCGCACAGCCATACTTGTGTAAAATATGCTAAAAAAAAAATTGGAGCAATCGGTCGAACAGATTTTTGTAAATCACCTGCGCCAGCATTTTTTTTGTTATAAACATTAATATTAAATATAAATAACAATGTCTAGTAAAAAATAATCGATTATAATTTTTTTCAACACTTCAAAAGGAGAATAAAACGATGTAAAAAGATTTGGTGTGATTATATTTTATTTTATAATAAAAATAAATTCTGAAATAAGCTCCAAAAAAAAGGCCTAAACACCAGACTACCCCCTTAATATACCAAACATCGATTTATCCCATTATTCTAAAAAATTACTTGATTCTTTGCTTTTGTGGGGAGGTGCGCGCGAATTATCGTAAGACATTATATAAATATTTATAAACTTTCAAAAATCATTTTTCCAGTTTCTTGCATTATACTCTCTAAATCTGAATTAGTAAAAATGTTTACTAATTTGAATTAGTGACTTACTTTTTGCTTCTGAATCAGTAAGATTTTACTAATTATTAGTATATAACTTTTACTAACAATTAGTAAAATTTAACTATAATTCTAAAGCAAAAAGTGAGTCACTAATTTAATTTAAATTTATCGTTACTTAAAAGCCTTATATTATTTATTGGTTTCTTTGCTTTACATAGTGTCGATTCGATGTAAATTAATCCACGGAGAAAAATGGAAAAACGAATAAAGTAACTTTTACTACTTTAAAAGTAAAATTGGACCTGTCCGAAGTTTCTGCGCATCTCTGGCAACTTTTACTCGAAAAATAGTAAAATTGACTATTTCTGTAGTAAATTTTACTGTTTCCGTAGTAATTTTTACTATTTCTGAAGTAAATTTTACTATTTTTGGAGTAAAAGTTGCCAGAGATGCGCAGAAACTTCGGACAGGTCCAATTTTACTTTTAAAGTATAGTAAAAGTTACTTTTTCTTTTTTTCCGTGTCGTTATACAAAATGAGAATATCTATTATTCTATATATATATATATAAACCGATCATCAAATTCCAATAAATTTAAAATTTTAAAGACATGTTTTTATTGTTTATACAGTGATATATATCATTTATTTAACTAAAAATTATATTAAATTCCTGACCTTGCACTCTACATGACTAGTTTAAAGATGAAAATAATATGTTTATTTAGTTTGGAGTTTAAAATTTTTTCACCACAAGATACACCCACACGTTGATGGAAGAGAAGAGAGGTGAAGAAGAGGGAAGGTTGTTTTCGATTCGTGAGGCTTGGCATGATGGCAAGATCCGGAATCGACTGATTATATCTCGGCGGGATCTCGTGCACAAAACACGGAAAGACGGTCACGAATCGCGATTCACGATTTTTGGCCGAGAGAGAAGTTCTTAAATCCCTTCTTGCTCATCACGTTTTTTCCCAGTGCCAAAGTCACGCACCTTGAACCCGTAAACTCATCCCTAGCAATCTCTTCGTGCCCTTCAAGGTCCCTTTTTCATCAAACGTTTTTTTTTTTTTAATTTCAATTCCAAATTGTAGACAGCATTTTAAAAATCATGACTTTTTATTAGAAATAAGGCGGAATTATACGCATATTTGCCTTTCGGTTTTCAAGGCGCTCGAAGGCCCCCTCGACATTAAAAGCGATTTCGATTGGACGACGCGATCGATGCAAATCCCATGCCACGCGAGGGATATCTTTTATGGGAAAAC